TTCATCACAGTTATCCTGTCAGACACCAAGCTTGTTTCTGTTTGCCATGAAATGGACCATTTGGAGGTTTATCAAAGCCTTTACAACAAAATAGGAAAGACAAATGGTGATTAAAACACCATTCCACAGTCATTAGCAATGCATCAAAAAACCCTTGAATGAGTGAGCAATAAACCATTTATAAAAGTTTCCAAACTGAATAATAACAATGTTATTCATGTTATGAAGCAATGTTAAATATTAAACCATTGAATAAAACATTACAGATTTACAATGGAAACTCTAGCCAAGACCTTGGGAAACACCATCTGGAACAAAATGGAATGGGAAAAAAATAACTTCCATGCTTTAAAATTAAGGAGACTCCTTTCAGGATGGTTCTTATTCATTTATTCTTGGGGTTTTAAGTTTGGCATTTTCTTTGAACCATACACACTATTATTAGACCATGATTTAAAATGGTGGTGTTTAAAAGCCGAAATAGTAGTTTTTGGACTATTATTAACTTATCAGGCTGATAATATCTGAGCACCATATTCTAATTCATTCACAAATTATAAAGAAATAATTAATTTTAGTTGCATTTTGATAATCCAGTCATATTATAGAAGACGCATTGATTTATTCTCTGCATCTGATCAATCTTTGATTGCACTTTCTTATTTGTCTATGGTTCATGCTACTCAAAAGGAGTTTCTTGTTTTAATTTAAGAAAAACAAATTACGGAAAAAAAGCTGTTTTGATTCTCCAAAAAATTGTCAAAATAATTGCAGAGATTTATTTTTGCTTGGTGTTTTAGTGAAGGTGTCCCAACTACAAGGGACACACTAAGTTTAAAATGTATTTAAGACTGAATTCTATTTAGGTTTTGCTTGTTTAAATGGGGATACGTCAAAACCTCTAAGCTAAAGTGTGATTCAGATTTAATTTCACTGCAAAATTACACACAAGTGTTGTTAAATATTCCAAAGTATCAAAATGATCAAATGAAAAATGATGACGTACAGTACAATCTAAAATAATGACTTCAATTAAAACATGAGTAAAAAGTATGCTCTGATATTTTGTTTTTCTTTCCTTATTTAAAATATTGATTTTTCAGCAGTTGCTATTTTGAGATGAATACTTTCCACTTTTGTATTATGGCAGTATATGGTATATATACTGTATGTCAGTTCTGTACATTTCTTTATTTATTACAATCTCATACAAATATTGTGTTTCATTCACCTTTTGTGATGAAATTGTTTTTATAAAACTAAAATGTTACTAAACTCTACATTTTAATTATATTAACACTTTATTACCTGTTTTCACTGGTGAAATATCATAAAGTACTTGTTTGTAATTAACCCCTATTTGCATGGAATTTGAGTAAATATATTTCAATTTCTTTCTTAAACAAGTCTGAGTGTTTTTATTCATTCTTACCTTGAACATGAAGGCTAATCATTTTATTTTACCCCATTCATTGTAAAAGACATTTAAAATTATCTAAATCAATTTGTCTTTTAATATCACAAAAATGAATATAATTAAATTAAAACATACTGTATAAGTAATAATATCTTATGAATGTTAGAATAAACAGCCTGTTAAGTGGCAAGTACCTTGTGGCTTGGTAGAATTTTCATATCAATAAAATACATAATTTACAAAACTTAAAGTCTGTATAAGTTATTTTAATCCCTTTAGCATTTTTAAAGGTCAATTTAACTAAACTACTTTTAATTCAAACAAGTACAATAAATACATTTGATGTACAGTAAATTAAAAATGAGATTTAAGCTGCTCTAGAATGATTTCCGGTGACTTAAAAATCTAAGTAACTGTTCTCAGAGGAAGCAACGTGTTGATCTAATGAACTGCAGAAAAAGATCAGATTGAGGTGGAACACCCCATTCCAGCAAAAAACAGCGACTCACAGGGCAGCTGCTGCACAAATTAACAGCCAATGCACACATACTGAATAAAAAAAGGAACAAAAAAGGTAATGTAATAAAGTCATTTATAGCAAATACACCCCATCCACAGTGCCCCGGACCCTTTTAGTATTCGTTGTACATGGTCAAATAATTTACCCTTTAAAAACGAAGTTGGCTGCTCTGTCACTTGTACACTAACAGAACCACTTCTACATTATCTGTTTAGATAGTGCTTAATTCTGTTACTCTCTGCTGATTTCAGCATGATAAAGGTTTCTGTATTTTCTAAAGCCCTCTCGTGGCAGATATAATTGTAAACATTTAGAATCTGCCTTTATTTTTGATTTGCTGATTGTTTCTCAAATCCTTCAGCAACAACCTCAGTACTGCGTATGAAGAATGAGATCCTGCAGGTTTTCTCCTCCCTACCCCAGTCATTTATGCTCTGTGAATACGTGAACCAAAGCTTCTATGTACACAGAACTTCTTGTTCTCCTCCCTGAGGAATATCCTGATAAGAAAGAAAAGTGAAACACCTCCTGGATGTTTCTGGTGTCAAAGAGAGACACTCACCCTTGTACTGTACAGTGCCAGAATAGCTACAGTGTGTTCATTTGGTAAATTTAGTTTGGGGTTGGAAGGCATTTCTATAGAATAAAAAAATGAAAAAAAAAACTACATTATAGTTTAGATGAGAAAAATACAAATCCGGACAGCAATAAATGTCTTTAACCATAGAGCTCCTTTCAACTACAGTAAATTTACAATGCTATTAGGAAAATGACATTTTTTCTGTAGCAGATTCACGGACATTTATCAGTTTATTTTGTTTTTCTATACAATGTACAGTACGTCAATTTTCTACTGCATGGTACTTAATCAAGACATAATCTTACTGTGTCAAAAAGTTTTTTTTCCAATTTTGAAGATTCATTTAATTTTTTCAAAGAGATACTTATGAGAACCACATACTGTAGATGAAGCTGGTTGAATTCACTATCATTGGTGCCTGACGTTTTACAGAATTTACTGACATTTTATTAATACCATACCGTCAGGCTGTCATCATTCATAACTAGATACATTTGTACCTGCCCATTGATTGGCTTGTTATGCATAGCAACTACCATATCATGCTGTACAACTGAGCTGAACTCACTGATGTTCATCAGGGTGGTCTACAGAAAACCCAAATTAATAACTAAAGAGGATATTTACTGCTTGCAAGTCCACTTGATGAGTTGTTCCACTTTACTGATGGCATAAAAGTGTTCTCTTGATAAATGGGTCCCATTGGCTCCTTTCTGCTTTTTGCCTTCTTCATTTTCACCAGGCTTCATGTTCAGCTGGTGGAACAACCTCGTAATCAGTGCCTCATCAAATCTGTATCTAATGAAGTGATTGATTTACTGTAGTGCTTATACAACAAAGTCTCATGAGCATCAAGGTCAGTCATGAATAATCAATTAATGGAATGACACCACAACACATTTGATTAAAAACTGAAATACATAAAAGCTAGAGCCTAGGTTGTCACTAGCTGACTATGACCAGGATTCCCAAAGTGGTGGTCCAAAATCAGCCAGCACTGCCAGGTTTAGGGCTGAGATTAGCTCGACAGGTCTCTCTTGTCTCCTACATTTCCCTTGGAACCTACAGGTTTGTGGTGATCTGATTGAGGAACATGCTGCTCCCACTATCAGTGCTAAGCTTCCTCTAAGACACTCTGGAGTTACCAAGATGTCAGATGACGAATGGACACATGGTTTAAAGAGCGAAGAGGTTGTAGGAATTTGCCTCTTGCCTGTTTAATAAAAAAAACTTAAAATATCACTCTGCTTCACTTGCATTTTACCAAATCAAAAACAAATAGCAGTTCGCATATATTAGATATGTTTTCCTCATTGAACAATACCAAGTAAAAATACAGATTGAATTTTAAGGTTGTGCGTTCTAAAAAACCTACGCATAGATATTTAGAGATTGTAAAGGTTTATTCCAAGCTGAAAGGAAAAGAAAAGAGACACAATGTTTCGGTTGTGGAGCTCTTTTCAGGTGTGCACAAGTGTTCAGGTGATTACACCTGAAGAAGGCTCCACAGCCGAAACATTGTCTGTTTTCTTTTCACCATGGAATAAACCTTTACCTGTTCCTTTACAGCCTACACATGCTGCACAGCTACCTGTATCTACTTGAACTTATTTAATGATTTTGTCTGCTGAGTCATGGCCTGCAAAGACTGTTTCAGACAGAACATGTCATGCAGTAAATTCATACCTGTAGGTTCTCATTATAATTTACAAAGATATTACTAGGAATATTTCACTTGACACTCACAAAAGGAAACACACCAGACAAGTGAACAAAAGCATGCTTAAGAGTGAAGGTTATTTTTCTCAGGATGCATGCAGTTTTTCTTCAGTTACTCAGAGTCTGCTAGTACTTTTCAAGATATGTCTTGCCCTCAATGCAAATACATTTAATTATTTACTGCTTTAAAATAATCATTCTCTGACATCCACCCAGTTAGCCATTCTGTTTAGCAGATCATATTAGATAGATGTGTATCAGCTTAGCTTCAATAGCATGTTCTGGGATTATATTGTTACAGATGGATCATAATGAAAGAGAATAACAGGGAAATTGCAACAATTATTTAATTTTTCTGACTGACTAATATGAATTCAAACAAATATCATGTGAATATGTGGTCTGTAGAATTATAGGTAAAGACTTTCCTCTAGTGTTGCCTGATATATTAACCGGGTATTACAAGAGCAAATGATAGCAAAGGATGTTTTAAAATGACATTCTGTGCTTTTAGCCCCAGTTATCAAAGGTTTTGAAATCTTTAGGAATAGGCATCATAATAGAAGACTTCAAGAACACTGGAAGATCCACAAGTCAGCAGCTCACTGATATTCAACACTCATTTTTCTTCTCAAACTGGCATTAAAAATGTTTCTGTTTAAAAGCTCACCCTTGCCGATTCTGCCTAATATAAATGGACCAATCAATGCATTTGATGCTGTGATATACTAAAATAAAAAGGTTTGCTTCACTTTCCTCCATAGATATTCAATGAAGAACACGGCTCTGCTTTTGTGAGTATCCACTGTGTCTAATTCTTTCCATACTGTAGGAGATCTAATGAGAGACATTGTGAGTTAACTGAAATGAGGCACTGCACATACCACACTTTTTTATTATTATTATGGAGCTTTTTAGCTGTGAAGGCATGATCTAAATTACCTTAAACTTCTTTCAAAAGGAATCCGAAAATATGGCTGACATAGAGGAGGCAGAGGGACTGATTAGGGTGAAAAGAGGAGACACGTGGGAGATGGCTATGGTGAGTGAAGCAGAGCCTTGGCTTATGTAATTAACATAACGTACAAAGCAATTCTGAAAGAAAATCCTGCAAGGGTGAACAAACCAGATATGATAAAATGTTCTAAAAAACGTTTAGAAACTGCTTTGAAAGATGTCATCCATGCGTCCATCCATTTTTTTTAAAAGCTTTATCCAATTCGGGGTCGCAGGGGAGCTTGAGAATATCCCCACAAGCAAAAGGGGCAAAGGGGGGTACACTCTGGATGGGATGCCAGTCCACTGCAGGGCAGACCACAGACACGCACACACTCGCACCAGAGCCAGTTTCTGAGCTAATTAACCTACCAGCATGTCCTTGGACTGCAGGAGGAAACTGGAACGCCTACAGGTTGGGTGGGTTTTGGTGTAAACCCATGCAAACACAATGAACACATGAACTCCATGCAGATAGCACTCCAGGAATTAAACCCAGGGCCCCAGCTTTGTGAGGCAACAATGCTAACCACTGCAACACTGCGCTGCGCCTGGTCAGACATTCTTCTTCAAATTATTTCTTTACAAATGATAAGCAATATCAAGATACTTCTACTCAGTCTTATCTAGTGATCTCTTGTATTAAGTCTCACAGTCTTTATGTAATGATAGTTTAAATTATTTTAAGATCTAAAGAGTTTAAATCAAAGACTTCATCTAGAGTCTCAAGTCTTATTAAATTATATATTTCTAAGCAAAATTATAAAGGAGAAAATGTTTTTCATTAGCCCCATGTAATCTGCATTGAATAACTATGGTCATTGTAAACATAATTTCCTTTATTAAATATTTATTAAATAAATATCGACTTTTTTTAAATGAATGTGTCTTTATACATTATGGCTTATGTACTGCATGCATAAGTTAATGTTTAGAAAAACATTTTTGCTGAAACAGGTACAGTATGTCTATATTTAAATTACAATTACTTTAAAAGCGCAGCAGTGTTTATTAACGTATATGATGAAGACTCTTATTAATTTTCCTTTAGGCATACTTACCAGGAACCTCAGGAGGAAGGCGCTACCACGGTGGACAAAAAGTAAAGACAACAATTTTTCTGGCACAGAAGTTAATTTTTTTTACCTGGCATATAGGTCCATTCAGCCTGCTTTCCAAATGAGTTAATCCTCCTGGGGGTAACAGGCCGGCAAGAGCGTGATGCTGACCACATCACCTCCACCTCCAGTGTCGGATGGTTGAGAAAAATAGTGGCCCTTGCCCCCTGTTCCCCCATGGCCTGAAAAGGGGAGCTAACCTACCTAGCTTTCAATCGAAACAGGGTGGGAGGACACACAATTAGGAGATGGCAAGAATGTCTGTATCATATAGAGTAGATATCAGACATTAAAAACAGACTGCCAGTCCCAGAAAGCAAGTAAAACAAAACAGAAAGCAACGATGAGGCAGAGGATGGATATGATGTTTTTGAATGTCATGTTGAAACATTAATGAGAGCTGAGGAGCAAGAATGAGAGAATGAATACGGAGATAGGAGGCACAGCAGGACTCTTCTTTCTGACAGCCGATGTACTGTCACAGGAGTATCAAACAAACAAGAGATGCACTGCTGCTGACCTAATAAGTTGTTCATTATTAGATACTGTAGCTACATTACAAGAACATTGTAGAAAATAAAATGTTTTCATCTCTTAGTTTGATACATTATAATCACAATTTATTTAAATTACTGCCATTAATATTGGGACTGTTATGAATGAATGTGCCATATATTTTGAAAGGTAGCTAATTCTGACCACAATTTGTTTGCCTTTTCTTTATTAATATGTATTAATTATTAATAAATAACAATACAGCAATTACACATTCTCTAATGACAGTTTTTAAATCTATATTCATTAGAGAATAATGAGAAACTTAAATGCGGGGAATGGAGTTCTAAACGATTTATTAATATGATATATTTTTCAAGGCACGCTCTGGAGCCAGAGGAAAAAAGAGATTAAATGTAAGTTTTTGGGTTCAATTATAACCTTTACAAAACATACAGTATAATATTACCTATACAATGTACTTTATCTAGCAAATAAAGTTTTTAAAGATTTTCTGTGTTTTATAGAAAAAGAAACAGGAGAACAGAGATCTGGAGCAGACAGGACTTAACTGTGTGAAGGTAAGAATGTTAAGGTTTGCAAATCTCATTTTCTAATTTGTTTCTTTTTTTGGATGTATGTTTTAATGAATTGTATAGCAAATTTATTAAATAATGTCCATAGCATTAATATTAATTTAATATTAATTTAAGTGTGATTTGTTTGCAACCCTCTCTTCATAACAGTGTAAAATTTCCAGATTCCTCCAGTACTGGATACTTTAGTGTAACTGATACAGACGTTCTATGGGGGCTAGAGTGAGAGAGAGATTCAATAAATTGCTACTGTACCTTTATAAAACAGCCATCCTTAAGAGGCATCCAATTTAGAAAGGGCATATCTTGTTACTGGACTTCTTCAAGCAAGCCAGAAGGACAGCTGATTCCATTAAAGACAATAGAATGATATATTTAGATTAGAACTGTTATATGATTCAATTATTTGATTGTGTGTTTTGTGAGCATTCAAAAGTTGATTGCAACTTAATGCTGCCACCACCATGTTTGACACTGGGGATGGTAATGACTGAGTGATGCACTGTGTTGGGTTTGTGCCAGATGTGACACTTTGCTTTTCGACCACAAGTGTCCAATTTTGTTTTACCTGACCAGAAATCTTTTGGCCATTGTTTTGCATTTTCATCTGTAGGTGCTTTGTTGCAAATCTGCAAATCTCATGCAGAATCAGATGTTAATTTTCAGTTCCATCCAAGTCCTTTTTTGTTGTGACTGGGATATATCACAGCAACACTTCTAAACTATTGTCCTCCTTGTCTGGCTGCTCAGCTTGGAGAGGTAGCCTGATCTGGATATCTGAATGTCTTCAACTTCTTAATGATAGGCTTCACCATGCTCAAAGATATATTAAGAACTTGTTAAATGTTTTTATACCCTCCTCCTAATTTGTACGCTTATACAACTTTGTTCCATAGCTGTTTTGAAAGTTCTTTATAGTTAAATCTTTGCCTGACATTCATTGTCTGACTGATGTAATTCATCATATCGTTATTCTTTAAAGTCAATGATTATGACTCACAACATAAAAAGGTAACATTGCATTAATGTGGTTTTTCTTTCTTTTTTAAAGGGTGATCCAGGTGAAAATGGAATCCCTGGAGAAAAGGTTGATAGAATTGTTTTATATCGAAATGTATTTTATATTTTTTAAGAAACATATCTTGGCTGTATTTTTAACTGTTCTTCTTATTTTTTAAAGAAGACTGTTATATGGAATCAGGGTTGTAGAGATCTGCACAATACAGATTTTTCTTCTTCAATCTGGTTGCTAAAGTAAAGTAAAAAATAAGGGCCAGAATCACATTTTTGTGTACAATATAAGGAGATTCACATGATGTTCATGATTTTAGAATAAACCCACAGTTATTCACTATTAGACAACAAATGAGTCTGTGATGCTTTTTGCTTTTTGATGCAAACAAAACTTTTCTTGCTGTGTAGCTTTCATAAAGCAATGTTATTTTATTGATATATTGATGGTTTCTTAGCATTAAATGTAACTAAATCTTTGCACTTTGCTTTTTTTAATCTTGCCTATGCATCAAGACAAACACATTTGTTTGTACTGTAAATTCAATCTGGTTTGCGGCACTGAGGATGAACAACTTGTGATTTTGAGTTCTTTCAGAATTTTAAAGATTTGTTATGTCAAAGTATGACTCGAGACACATTTTCTGGATCCTGCATACATCTGCCTTTGAAGTCTTAGCTTTCTATTTTTATTGCACCATAAGTGACTGGTGATCTCAATCTATAGATAAATAATTCCCTGTATTGTCACCAGCATACTGTAGCTTCAGAAATCCTCAAAGAGTTTCACTTGTTCGGCTACTCCCAGTTCTTGTGTGATTCTGCAATTATTAATATTCTGATATAGAAATATCACTTTGTCCAGTTAATATGTCCTTATTTGTTCCATTTCAAGGGGAGCAAAGGGGAACCCGGAGAAAGTGGACAAAAGGTAAATATGTACACACCATACAGAAACTTTTAGATTATTTAATCTACAATCAAATCTCTTTTCTCCACAAAATCAAAACAAGTTCAAGTTCCTATGTTTCATAAATGAGACTGAAAATGAAACTTGTCTGAAATGTAACTTTTAATAAATATTCTCCCTGGAAAAGGAAATAGCTTTAAGAAGCTGATTCCTGTCCTCCTATGCGTGGCATAGTTGGTAAGACTAAATAGTAAAATGTCCATTGATTGTCTTTCTAGGGTGAACCAGGGATTGGATACAGAGGCCCAGTCGGTCAGGCTGGGCCTCCAGGACAAAAGGTACTCAATTTTAAATCTTTATTTTCATTTTTAGAAAATCTGTCAACCCTATATTTTCAGTATAAATGATTCTGTCAATTGTTTAAAGTTTAAAACTAAAGTGTTTGGTATATACGGTACGATTCATGTTATTGACTGAGCCATATGAATATATAAAAATCTATTTACTGTTCAGTTGCTTAATTGGTAACTTTCAGGGCAGCACTGTGGTACAATGGATAGCATTGTTGGCTTGCAGCACTGGAGCTCTGAGTTCAGTTCCAGACTATGGGTGCTGTCTTTCTGCATGCGTGTGTGTGTCTGTCTGCCCTGCGATGGACTGGCATCCTGTCTCAGACCCATTGCTTGCTGGGATAGGCTCCAGCTCCCCTGTGTCCCTGTAAGCATTTAGAAAAAGGACAGATGGGAGGTACTCTCGGTCAGTGTATGCATAGTTCTTATGTTCTGAGCATGTAGCTGAAGACGCTACTATGTGATTATAAATTAATTACACGTTTTGTTTACATAAACATAGTTATGGACTTCTAAAGAGAACCTCCTAAAGAAGCCTTACATACTACCAGATAAACCATTCATCATACACATTACAATAAAAACAATGTCTTCCATTTGCATTTCTTTATTTTATTTGCCTTTACTGAAATATGTGTCACCCTTTAAATTTTGAAACTCGCGTTTTGATATGCAACCAAACTGTGGCACCTGAGGCAGATCAGATGAAAAAATGTACAGTAACACTGTCATGTTACAGCAGGTCAGCACTTTTTCGAACGGAATGCTCCAATGTGAAAGCCGCGTGTTCCTCAAATTGGTCTAACTGTTGCTGTTTGCTGAAATAGGGTGAGCCTGGGGCGCCTGGTCCCCCAGGAGCTCAAGGTATCCAAGGTATCCGTGGTAATCCTGGAATTCCAGGAACTCAGGGCCCGAGAGGCCCCCCAGGCCTACCAGGGCCCCCAGGACCAGAGGCAAGTGAAACAAGAACCCCGGCGTCCTGGGCAAATCTCCCCTTGGCCCTTACCAATCATGGCCTCCTAATAATCTCACTCTGTGAATTGGCTTCATCACTCTGTTCTCCTCCACACTGAGAGCTGATGTGCGGTGAGGTTTCTGGCGCACTATGGCTGCCGTCGCATCATCCTGGTGGATGCTGCACATTGGTGGTGGTTGAGTGGAGTGTCCAGAAAAAGCACTTATATCAGCGCTTATACTGCATAAGTGTAAGGAATTATTGTTATTAAGAACAGTAACGTGGGACACAGCACTGGAAAAAGAAAGGCTTCAGAAAACTCAGCTGCCATTTTGGCTATATTACACTTCAGTCAGGAGAGCATGTGGTAATACGATGTTTTTATAGTTTTATCAAATGTCACGATTTGTATATTGCTTCGTTGGCTCGTGGAAACTCTTGCCAAATAAGAAACCCTTCAGTGCTTAGCTTTCTTGACCAGCAAAGGTTCCCAGGAAAAGGGTGGTGGCTGGGGAGCAAGGGAGCAAGGTGCTAATTGAAATATGCAAGGTAAATCAGTCTGTCATGAGGATATTTTTTTCTAGGTTCAGCTTAATCCCCTTTAAACATTGGTTTATTTAGCTTTGATGTGTCATGACTGCATATTTATTTTTTAATTTAGTTTGGTATCTCTTAATCTAGTACATCCCTATCTTCATAACCATTTACATTCCAATTAGGATTGTGGTTTATGTACCTGCACAGTTTGCATTAACCATTTTGAATGCCCATTGAAATTAGGTTGGTGTGTGTCTTTAATTTACACCAATCACTTAAACACCTAATGTTAATGAATTAATTGTTATATTCTCTATTTGTGTTCTTATCAGCGGTTATTAACCACTTTACTAACAGCTTTGTAGTGATGAACGTGCACTTTATTAACACAGTGCTCTTTAACTCATTCAACACTAACTCAATAACTGCCTAACCAAATGCCTGTCAATCTACTACTCTATATATATACTATTTACATATTCATGTACTGCATCATCAGTACGGCAACCCGTAAGGATCACCCTTACATTACTGATCTTAAAAATGTTAAAAAACAGCCATAATTATTATTTCAAAATTCTATTGAATCTTCAATGTAATTACTATTTCTATAGTATTTATTTTATTATATCAGAGGGAATATTAAGAAGTAAAAAAGGTAATGCCATGGTGTGTTTCAGCGAATATAGTGGTCACATGGTAGTTAAGGTCCCCATTGAAATGTCTATAAAAAAACCATTAACATGTTGTTAATGATGTTATAACCAGCAGTGAAAATTATTATATACCACTAAGGGATATGGCTTCGGCTCTGACCAGGGTCAGGATTAGGGTGCTGTCACTAACATCCAGTTAATCCAAAGTGGAGGCTGATTGTTATCACAGTTATATCAGTTTTTAAATAAAATGTAATTTATTAAATGTTTAAAAGCTCTACTCTGAAGTGTTACCAATGTATTAGTATAAAACATTCATAAATAAAGTATAAGTAATGCCCAAGTAAAGGAATTTAAACAGATAGCATGTTACTGGTGTAATTGTTATATCCATGTGTCAATCCTTGCAATAATAACAGGATACATGCACATTCTAAAGGTTCAAGTTCAACATTTTACGAGCTCTTATTGAATCCGAATGTATGCAACTCAGTTTACACATGATGCATTAAATTCAATTCAAAGACCAGTTTAATTATGGTTGCTTCTTCATACTCCTCTACCAGCTATAAAACTGTTTAAATTATTCATGTATTTATCTCCATACCTGGTAATTAGTGAAATTTCACATAAGTACAGATGTCATTATGTGACGACATCCTAAATTACTGTATGTAGAAATGAATTGCTGTTAATCAGGCCCAATCAGACGCAATTATATGTGACTAAACTCATTGGATAAAAAATGAATCACACATCATCACTGTAAAAACAAAGGCAAAGATTATAGTTCGGAATTGAATAGTATCTATTTTTTATGCCCTTACATGGGGTTCCCCATTCGAACTATAATCTCATTTCTGCATTCCCACACTTTTACAAGATAGCCCGTTGATCACTGAAGGAAAGAAGAACGCAAATAAACTTCCAAAATCAAAACCTAATGAATAATGCCAAATACATATAGACCTGACAAAAAATAAATGCGATGCTTTCAAAAGATTCCATGTTAATGTGAATAATGTTTGAGAATGCTCTCATATGCATGGCAGAGGATTCCTAAGTGACAAGTGCTCTTGACTTTATCCTTGAAACTTGCTTAACTGTCTACTGTTCTGGTACATGAATGCCAAAGAAAATTAAAAATAAGAGTTGAGTGAATATTTTTTTTTACTTATCAAAGTCAACATGTCGCACTCTTTTTTCCTCAAAGTTTAGATGAGATGTTGTGTTTTTTCATAATTAGGGAGATCGTGGTAAAAGAGGGAAGAATGGTTTGTCCGGAAGCCCAGGTCTCCATGGTCCTCCAGGCAAGCAGGTATGTTAAAATCTTCAGCTGTAAACTCTTTAAACTCTACTTGTATTCTATTCAAGTGCCACTGTCCACCCGGATTGCCCTGTCCTGAAGAATCGAAGCTTCAAATTGAATCTGTAAACACAGCATAGAACCACAAAATGTCACAAAAACTGGAGCAGATTTTATAGGTCAATGATAATAATCAGTCTATAATGGCTTGTAGCTGCCAACCTGAGTGGGCTGTAAAATTAATCTTCTATGAAAACTCACAGGCTATAAGCTTTTAATCAATTTAGCATGTGATTTATTCAATTAAAACAAGACGCTAGAGAAGGAGACACTGCAGGAGTCTGTGAAAGCTATCATGAGCTAAAGGTCATAGCTGTTTAATTGTAGGCAGGGGGAGTAATTATATATAAACAGCTGGAGGGTTCCCATCTCCAATAAAATAGGTTAACGTCCCCAATCAGTTTATATCTGACTTTTTTATACAGAAAAATGTTTTATCAATTCACGTGAATAATGGTTCTCAGTATTAGGAACAAAATACAAACAATAGAACCAACTACAGTACATTATTAGCCAATTATGATATGATTGGATTCAATGAAACTAGGTAGCCTCACATTAATTTATATACATGCCTAAACTTGTCTTCTATTAGAATAAGGCAAGTGATTCTATGTTTCCCTGAATCATTTTCAGCATGACCCTACAGTGTTTTCTGGTGTCAAATCTTGTTCGAGCAGTTTCACTTCTCCATGTTAAATGGATGTATAGCTGAGCGTGGCCTCTGGTGTAATGCAAAATTGAGCTAGAGGAGGCAGCTCAGGCAGCTGAGGTCCCTGCTACCCACAGGGAGGGTGATGACGTCACTGTATCCAAACTAGCTCCGCTACACCCCGTAACCCAATCTCATCACATCTTAGAAGCTCACCAAGGATGGGCCTAGTCTGTAGTGCGATGGGATGAAAACCAAGTGGTGTAGATGGACCAGTAAGTGGAACTCTTCTGTCTAGACCAGAATTTCCAAAGCAGTGCCCTAGTATGGCAGCTGGGGATACAACACTTTCAGAGGTGCCTTCCTCTCATGAGACATTGGACCAAGTTCCAAACTCATTAAAGATCACAAGCCAATGTTCAGAAGAATCTCTGGTTTCCTGGCTAAAGTTCCACCCTAAATCCAGGTGGCCATTTGCCCCCCCCAAATCTTCCCTTTTATTCCATCGGTGAAGTCATTTTTGAAATTCTCCACCTGATCTGCTGGGTAGCGGGTCTTCTGTTGCGTAATGCCTGCCACACACCACCCAGGTGGATGTTGCACTTCAGTAGTGGATAAAGTGGATCCCCTCCTGTGTGGAGCAGTATGGAGTCCTTTGTGATGAAAATCAGAATAGAAATACCAGCAGCTAATGAATTATCTCTCTCCAGAATTCAATGTTGGTGTATCCTTAGTGATAGGAGATGTGAAGAAAGGGAATTTCACTTCTTCTCCAGCCACCAGCAGATGTCAAAGCTACTCTCCTATCCAATGCTTTTTGTCATGCATTGGCTTTGCCAGCACTTATTATTCTGTGGGTGCATACAGTTTGAACAGCTAATGAATGATATTATTAGCGATGCTTATGATAATATTCACTGTTACTCAGTAATCTAGAATGATTTTGTTATCCACAGCATGCATCGGTATTAGGATGAACAGCATAAAAACTTTCCTTGCTGGACTGTTGCTCTCATACAGTTGCTCACATGCCGTTTTTTTGGAATATACTTAAGTTCAGTGGTTAGATTTTAGTAACAATAATAATACGTTTTATGGCAGACACATACTGATGATTTGCTCTTTGCCATTGTATCACTCAATATATTCAAAAACCCACCGTTAACAGAGCTCTTTGTCTGCCTGCCAGTAAATGAATTGTCTGGTGTCAAGTAATTAAACAGATGTGCTGAATTAGAGAAAATCAAGCAAATAAACAAAGCCAGAGTGAGAGTCAGTATGAAAAGTGTATAAAGACGTGTACTTTGATGCAAAGTGTAAACAGTAACTAACGTGCAGGAAGCATTTCACATACTGTAGATCTCCAGGGTAGGTTTCTTCAAGTTAATCAATATTATTGTTTTGCAAATGTTATTTTTCAATGTGAAATTTGTTTTGTGAATAAATATGAGAACTGGGTCTTAGTGTTGTTTACATTGAATAGCAGAATTTCTACTGTCTTAAAAACTCACATAATCATAAAAGACTAATAAAAATGTTGTCATTTTATTTTAGGGCTTGTCAGGTTTGCCTGGAAGTAAAGGTGACAAGGTAAGAGAAACCTCTTATTTTCTAACCATCATAAGAACGGTTCCTTCTTACAGACGTGTCATCATTTTGTATTTCTGCACATTACACACAATGGTAAGTACTGTAACAGTGCTGAGGTTATTTATGCATCTTGTAATGTAAATACTATAGTTAGTGTTCAAATGCTGTTTACAAACATAGAATAAAAAACTTTACAAACTCATGTAAAGGACAGCATGCAAATTCCAAGTCCCTATACACATTGCCTTGGCTACTAAGAAATATTCAACTGAAACCCAAAATAAGCAGCACAGTGGTGACAGCGTGGTTAGTATTCCTGTCTAACAGCTCTGGGGATCTTTAAAATCAATATTGAAAGTGTAAATTACCAGGGTGCTATCTGCATGAGTTTTTACTGAATGTTCTCCCAATGGGCTCTCTTCATGTGGGTTTCTTCCCAAAGTCCAATGACATACTAGTAGGTTAATTGGTATCTGGAAAAATGTGCCCTGTGGCGAGTGCTTTTGTGAGTGCTGTGAGGTGTGAGTCTGTGTTTGTGACTGTACAATGTGTCTGTTCGATGGACTGGCATCCCATCCAGGGTCTGTCCTGCCTCAAGCCTGTTGCTTACCTGGTTAGGTCTGTCTGCGACTCTGTATTGGATAAAGCAGTTTAGAAAATGAATGGATGGAAGTTACTCTCAGTCACTGCCTGCATGGCCATTGTGTTCTGAATATGTATGACCCAAAATTTGTTGTGTGTACACCAGAGCCCTTTGTGTCGACACATACAGTAATCTGTGTAACTTCATTATTCACAGTCTACATCATTTGATCTGACCAGGAACCTATGTAATTAACAGGGTGACACAGTGCCTGGTGAACCAGGAGAAAGAGGAGTTGTGGGGCTCCCAGGACGTAGGGTGAGTTTCACACCTTAACAGCAGTTAGACACGGACAATGGCTGTACTGTCACAGCAATTCCCTGCTTAAAGGGAGCCTGGGCAGTAACAGTACATATCTTCCTGAATTTGCACTCGTATGTTTTTTTTTTATTATTCCTAGTGTCCTATAAAATACCAATCAAGCAGCCTCCACCAATCAAAAGCCATTTCTTAACTGGCCTAATGTTAAGCAGCAAGTCCATCCATGACAGTACGGAAATCTCAACTAGATGCATAGCTATTTTAAATACAACACTTTCACTTTAATATGAAGCGTTAGATCTGCTTTGCTGCTGTGCGTCCTATAACATACATTCCTTCTGTTGTCTGCATAAACCTTTGTAGTGTGCTCGGTTTAGTTTTCCACATTTTGAAGGTGTTATTTTTCCCATTTTTATTTTATACAATTTGCCATTGTAGGGGAAGAAAGGTACGTTTTTGGGGAATAAATAACTGAAATGATGGCTACAGGGTTTCCTTAAGTGAAGCGAATAAAGATGCCCACTAATTCAAGTCCTGGTGATACCACTGGCTGAACGTGAATGGCGCACAATTAGCAGGGCACTGTCAAGGACAATGGGTATTGCTTGGCCAGGATCTTATCAGCTTTCAGAGAAACGGAAGAGGAATGCCAACTCCTGTGATGTGTAGAGAGCCTGCAGGTTTGCAGTAACTTTAGCAAGAGATGGAATCCTTAAAATGGCAGCTCTGAAAAAAAAGCCTTTATGATTTTAACTAGTAACAGGCTAAGCTTAGAAAATGCAGAATAATATATACAGGATTCTTATAATCTATGTAATAATTAAAATAATGTAATGAAGTTCTGTTACATCTTATACATTAAACCTATGATTCTTTTACTGCATTAGCTTGTAAAAGGCAGCTTACAAGACATTATAAATGTAATTTAGATCATAATACACTATAATTTTTTACAAAGTTATCATTTCTATGGGCAATAATTTCTACGATCAGTTTCTAATGTGACAGTGTGGGAGTGGGAGGAGCCGCGGAGAACACCGGTTAAAGTCGACGCCCAGTATGAGGGGGCGGAGGCACCGGTGTGAGATTAGCGAAAAACAAGGGGAAAAAAATGTGTCACTTTGCACAGTGGCGTCCAGGCAGGACCGTTTCTTTTTAACAGTGTCCAGCCTGGGCAAAAAGAGCCGCTTGGGACAGCGGTAACCAGACTGGACTTACCCTATCTAACGGGATCCAGTCTGGTGGCTAAAAAGCGCAAGGCCAAAAATAAAAAGAACTCAACCTTTCCCGGAGAGAGATAAACGACGGGACAAGAGGGGGGGAAAAAAAGAAAACTAGGGAAACCGCGGCCCCCTCTGTAGAAGGTTCTCCCCCTTGCGGCGGTCTGCGCGGCCCTCTGGGAGGTACTCAGTGTGTGTTAAAGGGCCGCCACAGCTGCTGCTCGTCCCCAATTAGCAAAAAGGCCGGTGTGGTTACTAAGGCAATGCGTCGCCCTTAATCCAGGGCTCCACCCCCACACTAAACACAGCCCCGCGTCAGGCCGCACTAAGTAAGATCTGATAAAAACTACATATAAACTCAATTTTATTATAACATAAAATATTACAGATTAATTATGTGGGCAGTTGTGATAGTTTGCATTTGCTGCAAAAGAACAAGTAAAAGTCTTTTGTAAAAGAGAATGCCTTCTTCAAAGGCTGAAGAAGGCTCCATAGCCAGTAGTCGCATGGTGTATCCTTTCTATTTTTCAGCACGGAATTCATCTTTACTTGTTCCTTTCCATATTAACTGTTCCTAGGTTCAAGTAAATACTTGAAAACACTCTTGATCTCTTAACAATGCAGCCTGTTTTACAGTGTATGCTAAAGACTGAAAATGGGTAAAGTTCAAAGTTGTCAAATTCTAATGTCCATGGTGTGTAAACATAGATTTGTTGAAAAAATATTGTGAAGGTTAGTCAGAGATGGAAAGAGCAGTAAGCAAAATAAATCTGATTAGTTAGGAGTCATATTGTGATAAAATTGCATGTCAATAACATTTTATCGATTAGGTTTTTATTGTTTTCAAACCCAATTTAGGGAGAAAAGGGCATTGCTGGCATTCGGGGGCCTGCAGGACCTCTGGTGAGTGAACAGCTAGTGTTTCAAGAACACTGATTCTCTGAAATGATTTTTTCATGTCTGTTTACTTGTTAAAGAATATGTAGCACGTCTTTGTAGTAAATACTGCAAAATCTTGGGGAGAGCAATAACTGTACAAATACATTATATACCTGTACAGCAAGAGGATCCAGCTGTAGTCCTGGAAAGCCACAATTCAGCAAGCTTGATTGGTTACTTTTAAATCATCAATCATATAACACTCACAAAGATTTATATCTTCACTGCTGATGCAGGTGAGTCTTTCGAGTTCATTTAAAATACAAATACAACCTCAGGTACTTCCCAAGAATCATAGTTGGACACTTCTAACTTAAATCAATTAACTTAAATAATTAAATGTATGAAAACTGGACCATGCAAGACCCAATAGATTGATTTGGGCTTTCCAGAACCAGAGTTAGCCATCCCTTGTGTAAATGCAGAACTATGAGAAAAGTATTAGGGGATGTTTTACTAAAATCTAAGTAGAAAAAGAAGAATCCAAATAAAAAAAAATGTTTCCAATGTTCTTCATGAATTGTACTCTAGCCTTTTCACCAGCCTTTTGTTAGGAACAAAATCTACACATGATGCGCTCTGAACATTTTTGTGTAGCAACTGTAAGGGTTTAATGCTGCTCTGTTTTGTCCATTTAGTTCTAATCATTTCCTTAAGCAGCTACTGTACATGCTGGTTTTAAAATGTTATAACACAGAAAGTGTTTCTTATTGTAATGGTTTTGGCTTTTTTCCCCATTTCTCACCAGGGTCCCAAAGGACTACCAGGTGCCAGAGGAGAGAAGGTGCGTGTTTGTGTTGCATATTCAGTATTATGGCAAAAAACAGCATTGTCAAAGTACAAATATAACCGTACACAGAAAATACTGTTTCTAGCATTTGCTCAGACTTCCATTTCAATGTAGTACAATTGCACAGTTTTTTTTATATAGTTATTAATTCTTAGTATTGTATTAATATTATATTAATATATATATATATATCATGTAATATTATACTATTAATAGTATATTCATTTCACCCTGGATTTTTAATATTTTATTATTATTGTAATTTACAGTGCAACAATTTTAAATTTTTATTTACTTTCCAATACTTTTTGATGCTGATGTTACTGAAGCATAGTTGCAGTAGCATTGAATTTTTAAAATGCTCTTCATTGCTGTTGCTCAGACCCTTTCTGTGAACTGATTTCTCTTGAGAGGTTTCTTGCTGTCAAACCAGGATGAAGTTGGATTATTTTATTCTGGCTATGTAAAAAAAAAAGTATACAGTACAGTATATACTGTACTTCAAAAAGTTAGTTCAAATTCCTCAAAGGAGTCTCAAGCTTGTGGAAAACCTTTAAAGTCCTTAATTCATTCTTTGGCTTCACATTTTACAATTGACTTTTCTATACAAAGGTATTTTTTATAAATATAAATTTATGAATTATACATTTTATACCTACAGAAATATGTACAGAATACCTACAAAGGTATTTACTGAGCCCACACAAAATAATGACTGAGAGTTGTGCGTGTTTGTGTCTGTGTGTCCCCTGCAGGCTGATTATCCTGCCTTGTGCCTGTGGCTTGCTGAAAACTATATTGGATTAAGGAGCTGGAATATGGATGGATAATAACTAAGAATTAATTTATGTTGCAGAGTTTTTGTAGTGTAATTAAACTAATTCATATTAGTTTTTCCTAATTCTCGTATCATTATTGTCGGTAAAATTGACTAGCATACCAGGTATGCCAGAATCTAGATAATTGATATAAAATAGGAAGAGCAGTGGTCCCAGTACAGATTCCTGTGGTACTCTACTGTAGCGCAGTACCACCGGTGATGTGTTAAATGTGATATAATTACAGCATCCCAATTTCCCTAAATGCTTGCCACCTGTAACATAATAATAAATCGTTTATGAAAAACGATCTGAAAATTAACATTTGAAAATATCTTAAAAATAGGAGTGTAAAACATGGAACAGAACACAGAGCTCTGCATTTTGCTGTACTGCTGATGGACTGAGCTGTACAGAGTAGGCTGCCAGTGAAGATTTCAGAACTGATGACACTCTGTAAACAGAGCATCAGGCAGGTGTCAGATGCATATAAAAATCACCTTAAAATCTCTATGGTTTAGATTAAGCTTTTTTTTAACTGAATTGGATTTACAACCCTGTTTGTGGAAAAAATGGCCAAATGCAGTACAAGATGCCAATCTACAATATATACAATCTCACACTAAAACTACCAGAACTATTTCCAATCAATCTGAACTAGTCTTGAAATAAACTAGAAATGAAGGACAGAGCAGCAAACAGGTGTAATCTATGCCACTGATGTAGTTGTGAGTAATTATGATGCCTCAATCATCGTTTTTAAAGGGTGACAGTTTTGTCCTAAGAAGGAGTTATAAGATCAGTATGGTTACCCATGAGCTACAGTACATACAGTAAGGAGCACATGTAGCTCTTCTCTGCCTCTGCTAGGATTCAGTCATCACTTGTGGCCTTGGAGTAAACATAGCATCACTCTGTAGGCACCAGTGAACTTCTCAGATCCAAAGAGCGTCTAGGTTTCAGGGGCCTGTCGACTGTACTGAACCCCTGTAGACCCAACAGAAAGGTCCATCAGAGTAGAAATGTTTTAAAAATAGATTAAACCTAAGAGCATGTGATTATGATGTTTTAAAATTGGAAATGCGATGAAAGTGCATTTCATTCATGTTATGCACATTTTACAGTGAGGAGCTCCGCTACCTCTGTTGCTCCTCATACATCCACTCTCTCATTCATTATTGAGTTGCAGCAAGTTTTGCAAATTAATCACACCCCATTTCCATATAAGAAATCTTCTAGTTTAATTACCCAAGTTTGTTTTCCATAACCTTACAGACTAACAAAAGTCAGACTTCATCAGTCTATAATAGGTTATGTTTTGTCACCCTTTTAATGGATATGCACTAATATTCTCCATTCTACAGTACTATCCCTGTTCTAAGCAATTATTGGAAGAGTTTTACTAAATGTTTACAAAGGACAATTGGCTGGTTACCATCTGGGATTAGGACCTGGAGGTTTATTAATCTTGAGAGTTTATAGCACATGCCTGTAATATATACTCCCTGTAATGTATACTGTTTGATATAGAACATGGTAAACGGGAAACTTTGTTTTCTTGTTGTTTTGGAATTGGAAGACCCTTTTATTGTGTGTCTTTCTTCAAGTACACTGCAGCATGCATTTGTGGATTTTGTAATAAAATGGAAATTGAGTCATGAAACAAAAGTTAAGAAAGAGGTCAAACTTGAAACTTGTCTGCTTCCTCTGTCCTACACATAAAAATCTCCCCTTTTTTGGTTTTGTTGCACTGAGCTTTGCACTGTTTCATCCCGAATACAGCTCTGTTCATGCAAAAGATCTGTGCTTCCTGTCCGAAGAAATTACATTTACAGTGTCGAATTGAAAATAAGGAAAAACAGATATTGGAAAACATATAGAAGGTATTCAGATAATATTCCAGAAGTATTCAACTGGATGTTCTCATGACTTTGTGTCTGTTATTTCAAAGTAAAATCACAATGGTTTGGCAGCAGAAACAAAATGATAAGGGTTAGGCAAAGTGGAGGGATTAGGAACTGTGGATAGAAATTATACTAATACTTTTACTTATTTAATCCCAGTAATAACATTTTAAGTACATGTAGACAGGTTACTGGATCTTAAAGTATATATTTGGGATGTTTTACCATTACTCTTCCTTTCTTACCAAGTAACAGTAGCAAAGTTTCATAAAGGACTTTATTTTAATTATTTTAAATTCTCCCTTTGGTCTTTTCACTTATTAAAGTGGGATATAACCCCTGCACATTAATGTTGTGGCTGGCAAAATCAGAGTAGACAGGCTACCTATTGTTGACCCACCTGCTGTTCAGCAAGAGGCAGGCTAGTCATGGAGCAGGTAAATTAAGGAAGGAAGAGAGAAAGCAGACTTCCTCCCAACTCAGAAGCAGAAAAAAGTGAAGGAGTAGGTATTACTCGCCGGTTTTATAGAGGGAGAGGGTGAACTGAGATAAAAGGGGAGAGAGGAGCAGGGGGAGCAGATCACTACAATACCTATTTTCTTAACTTTTCAAATGATGTTAATCGGCAATCTGGTTTCTGATAAGATGCAGTATATCACAAAATATTCCCAACGGCGGACAAATATTTGGCAAATGAGCATGCAATCCATTTTTAGAAGAGACAAATGAAATTTCTATTAATCCAGTATTTTGTATTTTTTTCTAGCACTTGCCCAGTGCTGATTGTAAAGTCGGTCTGTAAGCCCTCTTAATAAATAAATAATCTTTGATAAAGAAAACATGTACATTTAGTGTTAAACTCATATGTTTCTAAAATACCTTTTTACAGGGTGATCGAGGTTTTCCAGGCTACAAAGGAGAAAGGGTAAAGACAAAAAAAACATATCTCACATCTTAAAGAATGCAGATTGCTGTTTTTGTTTGAAGTACTCTTAATGCCTGTGATTTTAACATCTTGCTTTTAATAGAAGAAACCAGCTTTTTATTATGTTGATTTTCTAATCCTGCTTTGTTTAAGGGAAGCCCACTAACTTTGATGGGACCTCAGGGGTATAAGGGCAACAAAGGAGATCCAGTAAGAACACAATATCTTTTATTTTATTATCAGCTATAACACAACAGTGCTTTATAGTCGTGTCTCTTCTGACAAATTTGAAATTTCTTTATATTCTTTGGTATTTATTATTAATTGCTATTAGATGTTTTTACCTTCCAAAAGAAAAAAAAAATCTGTATTTAAAAAAAAACAAGAGAAAGGTTTTCAGAATGGGAATGAGCCTCAAAGTGAGGTTTCTAGTTCAAAGAATTTCTGATAAGAGTATTTTTGGGGATTGCAACTGATACTTTCTAGGTGAATAAAAAGAACATTAAATTGTCAATTAATAAAGCTTTAATGTATGAGAATAATGTGAGTTTTATGTATAGGCCTTATTGACTGGTAGCAGGGATCAGCTAAATCGTAGTTATTAACACTCTATTGTTCAGTTAATCTACTACAGGTTATAATGAATTTTTAAATGGAGTATGTGACCCCTGTTACCCAGATGTTCACAATAAGTACAGTACATTTCAGAAAGAAAACAAGGCATGTACAAGTACTTTAAATCAAGGAATGAGACCAACGGGCTAATCTTGAGTGAAAGCATTCTGTTTAGTATTTTTAGAATTGGCAAAATAATCAGAACTTTCAGGGATTCTCAAACGGGATACACAATCTCAATCCATTATGGAGCAGCTATCCTAATTTGAGAACTTCTCTGTAGTCAACATTTTGATTAACAGCAAACTTCACCACAAAAAAACAGCATGACAAAGAAGAAGAAAGCCAATGTTTATTATGTATGAGGACTTTACGTCAGTTGTTGTCAAAAATACAACACAAGACTTCCTTGATTAATGAATTCTGTCTTTGTAAGGGTGAGAGAGGCCCTCCTGGCTTTGATGGAGATAAAGGAGAAAAGGGAGAAGATGGGCCTTCAGGCGAAAAGGTATTCTGTGACATCAAAAAAGTTCTCTTTTTTACTCATACAGTGGAAGAAATCAGATGCCACTGCAAAGTATCTTTCAAGATCTTGAGGCTTCAAGCTGGGGGCAGACAACAATTTACTACTGGGTTTAAGGATACAATTTTTACTTTAGCTAAATAGATTTGGTGCACCAAATACAAGTGCAATTCAGATAGATCTGGATAATGAATAAATAGATGACTTATGGCTACACATGGGAACATTAGGGAGATATTTTAATTGGGTTAAGGCAGTCAGATCATTTTTCTTTAAAAGTAAGTCTGACTTACTTTTAATAACAATGGCACTCACACATTGTTTTTTGAAGATGATTATGTTGGGTCAGTATAGCAATCATCATACATTGGTGATTATTGTTCACGACACTATAACTGTTTCTCATAGGCAGATGGTTGGCAATCCCTTACACACAAATCTTGGCATTTGTTGGAGTATACAAGTGTTTCCCAAGTTCTAAAACCAGCCACTTATTCAAGCAAGAAGTATTTTTCTCTGTTTGAAGTGTTCCTCTCATTCCTCTTAATGTTATTGCTGAAGGGCCTCAAAGGGGAACCAGGGACCAAAGGAGCCATGGGCCCATTCGGTGCCCGGGGACCAGCCGGACAGAAGGTCTGCATTGGATTCATGGGAATGTGTACTGTAGGAATCATTTTCTTCTTTAACCTCTGCGGTATGGTGACTTACAGTAAGCTGACCGCAGTATTCTAGATGAAATCTAATAAGTGCATTGTAGACCTTAAGTATAGCTTTCCTGGATTTAAATTCCCCCCATTTTTTCTATATCTAGAAATCTATTTCTAGAATATCTATTTTTATCACTTAGTCACATTGTCTTGATGGAGACCTAGAAGAATCTGCAGTACATAAGATAAAAACACTTTATTGGCCATATACTGTATAATTTCTTGTATTAGGAATTTGTCTTTTCACATACCCCAACTACTGTATCTCTCCATGAGACACATAGACAGGGAGAGAAGCTTGGAGTCAGAGCACAGGGTCAGCCATTTCCTCTGCTGGCTGCAGGATATGAACCGGCAACCTTCCAGCCACAGGCGCAGATCCTTGGCCACAGAGCCACCGCACCGCCCACACTTTTCCTGTAACTCTGAAGTACCAATGTGAAAGGTGTATGACATGTTCCTGATACTAGTATACATCACTGTGCACTTACCAATGTTGAATTTCAAAGGGCCACATGTCGGCCCAGTCCATTATTCTGTAACTCCCTTTCCACTCTTTCTGTTTGCCACATCCACTATTTTAGGAAAATTTGACTAATTTGCTGACTACACTGAAAACCCGTTCCAGACTGCTGGAATTGCTGCACACCATTACACATACTGTATCTGCCCAGACAGAGGTTATACCTCTTAAAATAACATGCCGTTTCTGTTAATTAAACTGGTTCTTGAACCATGTACCTTCTACTGCTTTTAATTTGTAAACAAACCATTTTTAAGACACTTTATCATATGCTTTCTGTAAAGCTACATATATAATGTCTTACGTTTAAGTGTTGCCCATTGTCCTTGTTGGTTGTTTGAAGAATTCCAGAAAGTTAGTTACACAAGGCCTTCACCTTCTAAACCTATGTTGGCTCTCTCTTAAAACGTCCTTGTTTTTTTAAGTATTCTGATTAAGCTCTAACTTTCACATGAATTTACCAGAAACAGAAGTGAGGCTCTATAGTACATAGTTACCTGGCTCAGTTCTGTCCTGCTTTGTGTAGACTGACAATACAATTGTGATTTTTCAATCTGCGGGTACTACGCCCATTCTAAGTTTCTTAGAAAGAGCTGAAATATTCTTTCTCAGGTTCTACTGTATGAATAGCATTTCTCATTTCCTTAAGCACAACTGAAAATAATTTATTATTTAAAGGTGTTAAAGTGACCCGTGTGAAAACCTTTAAATATTTTTGCTCATATCCATTCTAGAATCCATATTCCTCTGTATCGTTTCACTTTCTGAAGTTAAGTTTTGAGTGATTCACAAGAAAGAACTTGCAGCACTGATCTACTGATGTCAGGGACTTTGATCTCCAGCATTAATTTGCAAGTGACTCATAATGGCTAAAAATCTTTTGAGAGCACCAATTAATTAATCTTAGAATGTGGCTTCTCAAATGCAGATGTGCAGAGCCAAAAGAGATTATTCTGATCTCTGTTTGAAACAAATATCAATCTGTAAAATTTCTAAATGAATTAAATTAACATGAATGGGATAAACTCTGAGAATAATAAGTTCTTGGAATTTGAGATCAAATAGCAAAAGTATATTTGGTTTTCCTTACAAGCTACAACAAATACATGTAAATCCATGTTCATTTTAATTTTCCACGCAGCATTAATTGACAGTTTGTTGTTAGTCAGATAATTCTTGAGTTATTAAACAAAAAATACCATAGCATTACCACAGGGTACAAAGTACATAGTTCAAGTAGATAGCTGCATCAGCATGCGTAGGCTGCAAAGGAATAAGTAAAGGTTCATTCCATGTGGACAAGAGAAGAAAGGAAACACAACGTTTCAGCTGTGGAGCTTTTTCACACCTGAAGAACACATAGCCAAAACGTTGTTTCCTTTCTTCTCTTTTTAGCATGGAATAAACCTTTACTTGTTCCTTTGCAGAATACAAATCCTGGTTGAGCTAATAAACATCTTTGCTTTTACAAAAACTCAGGAAGTGCATATATTTTTATATTATTAAAAAAAACTACTGTAAGTGCTCTATAATTTTCATATGAAAGCTAGTGTTGATCCTTCTCTACAGGGTGAACCAGGGGAAGCTGGCATCAATGGAGAAGTGGTACGTTTACATATTTGACATTACTGTGTAACAAAATTGTGATTTTCTCTCTTTTTTCCAAGACAAATAATTCCGTGACAACCCTGCATTGGTCTGTAAGATTGTGGTTATAAGAATGATCTTGAAACATTTCTTACAAGTAAAGGTTTAGGTTAAAAGGCATTCTGGATACTTATTGTCTTAGCTAATGATGGCTTAGCTGGAACAAAAAACAGCAGGTGTGTAGTCCTCCACGACCAGGACCAAGAACCCCTGCTTTAATCTATTAATCTATTGGCTAACACACCTATTTACACAGGTTTTCCTGTCAGAAATAGTTTCCTGCGTCAGTTACTGTACATCTAGTAGTGTTTTGTGAGGAAGAAGCAAAGTAAAACTAAATATTTTGTTAACAAGATTCATTTACAGCAGTGTTGTTAGATGGGCATTGGATAGCAAGTAAAAATCATAGTACCTTAGTTAAATAACACATACTGCAGGGGTGGCACAGTGCTGCAGTGGTTAGCATTGTTGCCTCACAGAGCTGGGGCCCTGGGTTTAATTCCAGCTCTCTGTGTGGAGTATGTATGATCTCACCAAGTTCATATGGGTTTTCACTGGGTTCTCCTGTTTCCTCCCGCAGTCTAAAATACATCCTGGTAGGTTGTTTGGCTTCTACAAAATTCAGTGTGTGTGTTTGTGTCTGTGTGTGACCTGCAAGGGCTTTTCGTCCTGTTCGGGTTGTTTTCTGTCTTGTGCTTGTTGTTTGGTGGGGTAGGTTCTCGTTTCTCCTTTGACTTTGTAGTGGCTAAAGCAGTTAGATTATGGAGGGATAAATAATACACATTGACTTGCACAGTAAAGCCAAACAGACACCTTGAAGGCCACCATGCACCAGCACAGTACTGTTTCCTGGAGCTTCAAGTTTAGAAATGGGGTAATTCTTCAGCAAATGACTCTCCCTTCAGGGCAGGAATGGGGAAGATGGTGTGGATGGAGCTAAAGGTGCAAAAGGAGATCGCGGTCTTCAGGGTCAAAAAGGTGACAAGGTGGGCAGAATGCCTAGTTTGACAACGCTTTGTTTATACAGTAGTGTGATTATTGAAGGCTCAGTTCATAAGTTAATTATGTTCTAGTGTTCTAATGAAATGTAAAACAGGAGCAAATTGTCTGTGCTATAGCTCAGCACAAAACCTTTAAAAAATAAAAGTTATTTATTATTTATTAATAATAATATATGCCATTAAACTTGTCAATATCAGTAAGTAACCCATGTTTTAATATGAGAAAAGTATGTTCTCAGTTATCAGTCAATGAGCTAATATCTATTAAATGCTTATCTGAGATTCTTCTCATGTGGAGAAATTAATTTATTTGCTATCCTGTGTTTTTCTAGGGTGACCAAGGAGATCCTGGCCTGCCTGGAGATACAGGAGAGAAAGGAGAAAAAGTGAGAAAAACAAAAAAGTCACGATGTCTTTATTTCTTTTTTTTGTCTGTATTTTCTCTTAATGTGAGTTCTCAAAGAGTTTGTTTAATTTTGTGCAATGAATTCTGTCCTTAAAAACCCATGGTTGAATTTGAATGACCTCCCTACATGGTCCTTAGAGGAAGTAAAGCTAGATACTTTACAAATCACTGACATAAGCAAGGATCTCAAAAAATGTTTGAGTTGTATTTTCTGACTGTAACATACAGTGACCTCAACATAGCTTTAAGATCTCGGAGTTATTGTCCTCACATGTCCCATTTCGCTCACTGCATTTGGCTGGTCCTCGGTCCCTTAACATTCTAGTAACTTTACATTGTATGTTAGGGGATTTGTCTTTTCACTGGTAGCCTTATCTTTGGAATACACTTCCTGACTCTATTAAAAATGTAGCGTCTGTGGTTATTTTTAAGTCTGACCATCAAACTTTAATGCTTTTAATTCTCAATCTGTTTCTTTCTTTTAATTCTCTCAGTTATATCCGTGTTTGTTAAATTGTATTCTGTATGCTATACTGTGTTTGTTATACAATTTATGTAAAGTACCTTGAGAATTATGAGTATTAGAAGGGGGTATATTAGAATTGATTGATTGACTGACGGACTGATTGATTTATTGGTGGATGGATGGATGGAGTGGTCAATTGATTAATTGATACTTCTGTACCTTTTTCTACAGGGATTCAGAGGGCTCCCAGGCCGTATGGGAACTACGGGTACCGATGGGGAGAAGGTAAGGAGCTCATCCTATCAATCAGTTCTATCAAATCTAATTTTCCTTTTTGTTCATTTTCTTTCCTGCTGTCTAGACACTGACCACATGACAAAAAGCACAAAAAAAACAAAACCCGCAATATAAAACAGAATGGAATTAAATATACCACTTTTGATTCATTTTTTACCACTTCTTCTGTAGAAGAAAAGAAGAATATATCACTTATTTATTGTTGTATTAAAATATTCTTTTGAACTTAAAGAGATATTCTGTACAGTGGTTTTGCTTTTTTGGTGCTGTTACAATAGGTAGCATCCCTCCCCTTTTATTCTAGTACAAATCCAGATAAAGAGCTCAAGCTAAATATTTAATCTTTTTTTGCGTGTGCTTTTCCCTGTTTTCTTCTCCAAAACATGGCTATCTGAGGGACCTTTGCTTCCAGCATCAGCAACAACATGTTTTGTGGCTTGCTCTTGCAGTAGTGACAGCTCATTATTTAACCATTGCTTGTCTCCTTATGTAGGGGGACAAAGGGTCCCCAGGAATCCCCGGAATGCCAGGATCTGATGGACTTCCAGGGCTAAAGGTTAGTAAACTCATTAAACATTGTTCTAACTGGAGACAGATAATCAGCTAGGAGAGGTTCGAAGGTATAGAGGAAAAACTCTTCAATAGTTCATTTTGCTAATTCTCCTTTTCAGTCATCTGTCATGCAGTTACTTGAGCACAATCGAAATTACTGAGCTTCGCAGTGTGCTAGGGCATTGGAGCTCTTTATTTGTATTGGCTGTCATTTAAAAGAATAGGCATATTGTCCAGCAAGAAGTATCTTCTAGGCTTTCTTATTAACCATGTCATGCAATATTAAACTGTTTTGTAATAACGTAGTTATCTCCGTGTGATGTAAGTTATTCAAAATAGAAACCATTGTAAAAGTTCATTAATTTACAACTTCTGTTCCCTTTTTCCTCCATTTTATGTTTGTGTAAAAAACATTAGATTTTGGATAATGCTTAAATATTTTTGGCATCATTCTGATGAACCAATCACTAATGACTTTAACTGTTCCATAATCACTAAATTACTCGATCTGTGAAAGAGTTATATGGGCATGTGGTGATATAATTTAACCTGCTGAATATCTGACCTGTGGAAAATAAGCAAATAAAACACAGAAAGAAAGCATGAGGTAGTAAGAAAAACACCATTATGGCTGTAAGCTCTGGGCCAATGTTGTGGCCTTGAGCCTGTTAATTGGGAAAAGCTATAGAATGAGGGACAGGTTCTGAGAATTTATAGTACTCAGAGAGAGTGGTATTCCACATGAGAGAAAGGAGCACTTAGGATAGGTTCTGCATGGAAATAGTTACACCCCTGGCATAAGTAAGAGACTTTCAGACTTACTACAGCCTGCAAGAGCTTGATTGGTAGGGTTTTTAGGCCTACGTCACTCAGTGAACTAGGAAAACTTGAAGATACATTTTCAGCTATACCGAGGAGAGTCGCAGGTTCTAGACAGGAAAACGGCATTAGAGAGTTTGTCTGCCACATCCAGTGGGGCTCATGTGTGCTCCAAGGAACTGGGTTGGCTTGCCAGAGTAAGTCTGATGGGACGTGCTGGTCACTGAAGAAACAGTGCAAGGTAGCTGTGTATCCTCTCCCCACGACACAGAAAGAGGAGTCAAGGTAGCACACTTTGAGTCTCTGTAGTCTCGGAGTCTCTGAGTCTACAGTTGAGTAACTGTAGGCAGAACTGATCAGTCTCAGACAAGGAGAATGAACAGAGAATGGAAATAGAAAACCCAGTTGACACAGGCAATTGTTATAATAGAGGCTTCCCTGGCCAAAGAGGATCAGCCATGAGGGTTAGAGTAGGCTGCTATACTCACACAGAGCCTACTCATTCAGGTGCAGTACCGCAAATGCTGTTGCTTCACACAAATATCAACAAACCTGCTCTCTCCCAGACCTTCAGTCTCAGACACATATGCCTCACCTCATTCTCTGTGCTCGGCTAGGTCTTCTTCCTTGCCTGTGTGTTGGATGGATAACTCAGATACTACATGGAACACGGGAGATACGGCCTCCTGCCCAATTATACTGCTCTAACTCTAGCTCAGACTGACTCCTTAGCTGTTTCTGCTCTAGAGAAGTAGAGTGTTGGATTATAAAACTGCCCACAGCTGTTGCTTGTTAGATTACAAAGTTTCTATAGCTGTAGTTGCTTAGCATCCAATGCTTCTCTGATGAGAGGTTTTATATCCATGTCAATCACACCCCACATTTTGTCACTCGTTACCAAACACGTATACCAAACATAGGCTAAATTAAACTCATTACAACTACAACAGCTGTAGGTACTTTGTAATCTAACAATTTTACCAATTACCAATCTTATCCTTCACTACAGATAAATCTACATACTGTACAAAGAGTAGAGGTCCTGATGACTTCTAGAGGCAGGTCCACTGGAACTAAATGCTAGCTACTGTTGGCCTGCCACAGTGTGCAACCTGTTGTGAAGCATGAGTTATACTGTAGATTTTATTTCTTGCAGTGATGGTAACACATGCTACTAGCATGTGGCTTTCATAGAACAACTCTAGAGATGATGAATAAACTTGTCAGCATGATTAATTTATATATGCTCCATCTATTTCATTTCATCCTTCGTATATATGATATACTGTGCATTTTATCTCTTTTTATTTTTAAATTTTATTTTACACAGTCATTTTTGTCTAATATTTCCCTGATGTTTTTTTGTAAATTATTGTAGCAGTAAATGATGACTATTAGATGACAGTTTAAGACCAAGTATGAGCAATTATGGATTCAGTCTTTTAATGGTACATAGGCTAAATTATTACTTTAAAAAAAGTGCTAGTTTTCTTTTTCACATTATTACAATATAGACAATTCTAAGTTAGAAATTAATTTTAAATCGGTAACTACAGATTGATAGATAGAAACATTATATCCCGGTTGAAGATTTTACTGTTTTTATCTGGTACCTTAATTTCAAGCTCTGTCTTGTATGGGTAAAATCCAACAACAAAAAAATGTGTGCCTGTGGCCTTCATATAATGATGACATCTTGGATTCATTTTTTACCATGAATCAGAGCTAGTTTTCTAGTCTGTTCTCATAATATGTACAAATACTAACAGATGTGTCACCACTTGCACTTCAAGCCAAACCTACTGTAGTTATCTGTATTAATCTGTAACATCCATTTTAAAGCAATGTAAATTTTATTCGCTGGTTTTAAAAAATCATAGTACATTTCTAAATAATGTAATAAAGAAGGACTGTGACCTTTCAGGAACTTCTGTGCTGAGTCCTACTGAGAAAATCACATTACAATTTCATTTCCTAGAGCACAGCTGCAAGACTGTATTGCATGGGTACATATATTGCATTTGAGATGCTAACAGGTTTTACAAAGGATTTTGTATTTGAATTAGATTTGATTGTGTCATACAATATTTGCAGGATATGATCAAAGCATTTCATTCTCTTCTTTACCTTGCAGATGGTTCCCTCCATTTATTGTTGTGATTTCTCTACCACAATGTTTAAGAGATCATTGTTAATAATAAAATTATCTTAACTGTATCATATTTCAACATCTAAACCTTGAAGATAAACAGAAGAATTCATGACAAGAATATACACACAAACAGTAGGTTTATTCCATGCTGAAAAGAGAAGAAAGAAAACACAAGGTTTCACAAAAGCTTGTGTTTTCTTTCTTCTCTTTTCAGCATGGAATAAACCTATTACTTGTTCCTTTGCAGCCTTTGCATGCTGATGCAGCTGCCCACCTTAACTACATACAAATAGAAGACAATTAGCTACAATCCAGATGTGGTCAGAACTGACTATAGTTCTGTTCCAAGCAAACACCCTAGGATAGGCTATTCCACCTATCATGTTTGTATGGTTGCTACAGCAGCTCATTGATCTTAGGATCTTATCAAGTTATAAGTTGAATAGTCACTATGATCTAGGACCAAAACATTGGTCTACCAGCTTGTTCACCCCCCACCACCTTTTCCGTAGAAAGTGTCGATCTGTTCTGAATCTTTGTTTGATTTCCTTATAAATAAACTTGTTCCACATGATTTTTTTTTACTTATGTATATAAAGCAGCCCACTAGGCTAGAATTCCTAAACACCTTTCCTGTTTGTGAAAAATTAAATTATGCCCCCTTGAAAACAATACTAAAGAGATTTTGTTCCTTTAACTTATCTGTGTATGATATTTCATTTCGTTCCAAAAATTATTTTGGCTGCTCTGCTGTGAACTGTTTCTATGAGAGTGTTAATTGTCTGTTTATCTATCGATTCATAATAAAATAGTTTTTCGTTTTGAACTTGGATTTTCAGGGCAGCAATGGAGATGCAGGTTTGGATGCCTCCCCAGGACTTCCAGGACAGAAAGGGGAAAAGGTTTGCAAATACAGGTTTCTGCTTTGGAATACATTTCTCATTTCCAAATTTAAGAGACTGGAAAACTTGACTAGGTCTCTAAATAGACACATTTCTCTACCTTCAGAAGAGTAATAGCCAAAATCTTTAGAAAAAAACTTTTTACATTATTAGGTACAGTATGGTAAGGTGTTTCATTTAGTAAATTGAAAAAAAATGCATACACATTGGTAAGCTTACTATTTTATTCAAAACCTTAATGTACAAACTGAAGACTGCTAAGATTATTATTAGTTTAGTAACAATAATTGTGAGCAAAAGATAAAGAAATAAATTGAAATTCTGTATGTTGAGTGCATTAAGATTTACAGTATCCCAATTAACTCGTATTCAATATTCGGCGGAAACACCTTTTGCAACAAATACAGCCACAAGTCTTTCATGATAAATCTCTACCAATTTTGCATACCTGCTTGGTGCAATTTTGGCCTGTTCACTGTGGCAGATCTGCTCACTTATTCTCATGTTTCTTGCTAAACAGCAGTTTATAAGTTCCACAGTATGTCAATAGGACATACTTTGATTCAAGTCAGACTTTGGCATTATGTTTTGTCCTGCTGTAAACTAAATTTTTGTGTCAGTTTTAGGACAAAACTGCAGCAGGTTTTCCTCTTCAGAACTGCGGTATTTTCTGTATAGCAAGTTTCAAAGTCCCTATTGATGAGAAGTAGAATTATAACATAATATTGCTGCCACCATACTTGATAGCAGAGAATTGTTGAATTGGTGACGAACTGTCAGGTTTGCGTCAGATGTAATGCTTTGCATTTAGACCAACAGGTTCCAGTTTTGTCATGCCAGACTGCAAAGCCTTTAGCTTCATGTTTGCAGTATCATGTAGGTGCTTCATTGATACTCCCATGCAGGATTTGACGTATTTTTTTCAGTTTTATGATTGGCTTCACCATGCTTAAAAGATATTAAGGATCACCTTAAAAGAACTTACAATAATGACTTTTCCATTTTTCTTTCTTTTTGTACTGTATACTATATACTACTGACTACAACTGCAAAGTGTCATGACTGTAAGCTTTAAAGCGGTAAAATGTGAAAACTAAACAAGTCTGAATATTTTTCCTGTCACTGTAGTCCAATTGTTTTTGGTGTTAAGGGACAGAGTAATTATGTCTGTGATTTCTGAGTAGGTTATGCACGATCAGTAACACAATACAATCAATAAATATTTGTCTGGAGATTTCAGAATCAAGTTTGGTTTAGAATTAACATATGGATGTCCTTAAAATGCTAACTCTAAAACAGGTTTATTGAAGATAGTATTGCATTATGTTATCTGATTGTATTATATTAATTTATTGTACTGCCCTAGTTTCTATTTGTTTTTCTTTTCCTGAAATACTTTTATTATTTTATTATTATTTATTAACAGTCCAATTTCTTAACACCCTTGTTAAGAAATTAATTTACAGTTACTGTTAAAACTGTACTAAAATAGATATCAACTATTCTCCAAGAGTCACAATTTTGGAATTCCAAAAAACTAAAAAATAAGACGGAAGCAGCATTACCCCCTTAAAGCACGATATTGTCAGATCTTAGAAGCTCGGAAAGAATGGGTCTAGTTGGCACTGGGGTTTTTGACGTCTAAGGAAAGGTGACCTCAAAAGAAAGGTTTCTGCTTAATGTGCTGTTGTTGGACCAGGAGATGGTAATTTTCTCTCTGAAGCCGAATTGTCAAAAAACAGTGGCTCAGTTTGGTGACAAGGGACATTGTTGTAGTAGGTGCTGTCCTTTGAATGACATGTTAAACTGAGGTGTCCTGACTATTTGGCCACTAAAGATCCCAGGACACTATGAGAGATAATTACCTCTGTGTCCTTGGTAATGCTACTCTCAGCCAGCACAATGAGGCCTTTGTAAAGCCCCCCCTAATTCAGTAAAGCAATTATTACATTATATTTAAAATCTGATATTTGGGGTATTTAATCTTCTTATTTAACTATCCAATAGCAGCTCATATTGTTGAAGTGAAACATGCCATCTCCCCTTTTCTTCACGTGAGCACTGAAAAGATCGACATCTCTAGGACAGGCGGTGACATTAAGGTTTGTGTTTGTCGAAACATAGACAAACCTTAATGAATAAAATGTTTTGGAATGTAAAGAGTGTGTTCGGTTGATTCCAGTATATTCTTGCCTATTATTTTCTAACATGCATGAATGGAGTCATGCAAATATTGAGTAAATTATGGTAATTTAATTTAATTTTTATGGTAAGTTAAAATGTACATTACAGATTTCAGCAACTCTTCAAGACAGCCAGCTCAACCCCTGTCTGGTAACATATGCGTTGTTCTTTTCTTTTATAGATAAGGCATATTTAATGATGGGATATTGTCTTGCTTTCTATGCAGGGGTCCACAGGGTTTCCTGGATTCCCTGGTTTCAAAGGCTCTGCTTGCCTGCCTGGAAAAGATGGAGCAACAGGACTCTCTGGGCCACCAGGGGAAAAGGGTGAACCAGGCCCCAAGGTAAGAACAGTTATCCCACTCAAGTTAACAATGTTTTTTTTCTTTAATTACAGATAGGGACCCAAAACCATAATGTTCATATTTATGATGTCACTTTCTCTATGACGCAGTTACAGTAGGTCAGGATGTGCGTACACAAATGGATGACAAAAGGGCCGATATATGAGAGAATGTTGTATTTGTATTTACATTCCAGTGTAAAATGGTAAACTTGACTACACATTGAAACTCTCGTGAAAATATTATTTCTGAAATAAAATGGCAGTGGACATTGTGTGGTGTTTTTACAGCATCCCCCTAAATAAAAAAAAATTAATAAACACCACACAAAAGTATGGCTCCCTCTAGTGTCCTTGGTCATCTATGCTAGTGATGGAAATTTAAAAGGAAGTAATGTGTCTTTGGTTTGTTTAATTTGGGTGGGTAGAGCAGCAGCAAGACCAAATAGAACAAAGAGAAACTGTTGGTTATTTGGAATTTATTGGTCATATAGTTTCAGATTTTTAGACCGTTTACATTAAATTTAAAGGGCTCAAATTTTCAGCTGTGACAAAGTAAACATTTCAGCAGCTTACAGTGTGACAATACTGTACACAGGTTTTGTTACACATTACCTGCTGTAATAGAAACTAAATGATTTCCATCAAACGCAAAAGCTACTTTACCCACAAGAGGAGTTTGAAAAAAAAGTTTATTTGCATTTTCCAGTTCCTTGAGCAATATATTGCACATCAATTAATTTTACAAAACTGCTAACTTTATTCCAAACTGGACAAATGAACCAAAAACCTACGTGTTTTTAAGGACATAGGAGGTTGCTGTTACAAACACTGTGGCAAAGCCCTGTTTAAATATGAGTTCAGAGTACAAAATTCTCCACTTGACCAGTCCATTATGTATCATATGGGAAAGGTGATGGGAATACTCAAGCATTACTTATCCTCAGTTCCACATTAAAGTTCAGCCCACAAAATTAAGGTATTCAAGTACCCACTGTAAATGTTCTCCTTTGTTCAGTAATATCTCCCACTAAGACAATAAAACAAACAAATAAACACTCACTCTGAGCTGGCAACTCTTGGATATATCATGTCCACTGTTTAATATTCCACACAGGCATTGCAAATAATCAAATAACCCTTTTATTTGACCTTGTGATGAGAAAGCAGAAGAGGATTATATTGCAACATCTCCTCATTTCCTCATCTCTGGCCTTTAAACTTGGTGATCTCTCCATTGCGCTCACCCTGCGATCTATGTGGGTCCTAATGATCCAGTATAGTGACGGGGACACTATACTGTAAACAGGCGCCGTCCTTCGGATGAGACGTAAAATTTTATAGACAAAAATATAGCTGATTTATTTCCACTAAATCCAAAGTCCGTTAAAGCAAAGTCTGTTGAACGTGCTTCAGGGAATATTATACATATAGTGCAGTATATTGATAAAATATTTAAAATGCAGAATGCAGAAAGCTACAAGTGTGTTGGGCAGCAAGAGTCACAAAAAGCCTGGACTAGTTAAGAGAGTGCTATAGCCCTATAAAGAGTAGGAATATGAAAGATTCTCTGTTTCATGAGCAAAGATGCCTATTTTGTTTAAGAATGACCATGCACAATGACACAGTACTCTTACAGTTTAATATTCCTCCATATTAGGTAACTTATTGGCAAATTATGAGGAAGCCCAGCCACATACAGTATAGTGTTGGACCTCTGGGAGCAGACATTAACAGTACTTGGCAGCATCAACCTCTCCACAGATAACAAACATTTTCCAGCACTTACCATAATGTCTGGTCTTCCAGTTCTACTGACATTGTCACTCCTTTATAGAACTCCAGGACATCTGTGGGTGTTTAGTTTCCCATTCCACCCTCTTCTGCCCCATTTCTTTTCCATAATCCCCACTAACTCTGCTCTCTTCCCCCTCCTTTTCTCCATTTCCAGTAGAGCATCCAACCCTTTGCACAACCCAGGCAGCCATGGCAATGCGTTTTCACCACCTTTACCCCCTCTGCTGATGTCCAACTGTACGGTGTTGGCCCTCAGCTCCTCCCTCTCCACTCCTACAGTCTTTGTCTGCAGCCTCTTAAGTGCACCGGACACCTACTTGTCCTCATGGTCATTGCCTAAACCGATGTTTTTCTTCAGCATTATCAATTAAAGAATGCTGCTGATATTTTTATTTCTTCTTTAAGAAGAAGAACATGGGGGATTTTCAATTGTAAACTTCAGCAAGTGATAACTTACTACTGGTTGCTGTTTATTTTGAATTTACAATTACTTCCATTTCGTAGCTCTTGCCTTCTAGGCAGGGTCAATTAAAAAGTCTACAATACACATCTGAATTTAGTCTTTTTAATAAGAAATTAAGTCAATGAAGTAATATAAAATCTACCAAATCTCAATTTCTACTTCCTGAAACTGTTCAAATACAATCACTGAATCTGTAGTTATACGAGATAAGAAGCCACTCAGAACATTTCAACTGAATAAAAGTTAAAGTACTAAATGAAACTAAATAAGAGTTATTGGATAGCCTTTGTAGGTAATGAATAATTCCTTGCATTTGTATTCAGTATATCGTTTCATCTTTAAAAGTCTCCTAGAGGCTTTACAAATACAAGGGTACCTGAGTGATGGCTTCCTTTCTGTGTCAGCAGCCAAAGTACACAGCAGACCAGATGGAGAAATGAGAAATTACTTCGTCAGGTCAATTAAGGGGGAACTTTAAATACACCAGATTAAGTAAACCCACAGAGGATACCAGAATTAAGAGCCCTCTTGTTAAAAACTGTCACGAGATCTTTAATGACCAAAGAGTCAGCACCTTGGTTTTAACATCTCATCTGTAGGATGGCACCAGTCCACCAAATCCACTTGCAGTAGCAATTTGAATATCCTTAGAGGTCTTCCATCCCACTACCGAGCAAGCCCATCCTTGCTTAAACAAGATCTGATGAGATTAGGCTCTAGGCTATTTTTTTGTGGCCAGGATAGGTGTTACAGTATGTTACTTCCACTCGGAGTGCTTGTCTTTTGTTTTACATTTGTCATATGCAACTCTGCACTAAGGGGTTATGACAAAAAGTTAACGTGAATTAAAGTTTGAATTTAAGGAGATCCCACTCTTTTTATCAAAAACATGTTACGCTAGGCTAGGTAAGTGATAATAAACCTAGCACAAGAGGTCTAAATATAACTGCGTAGGAGGCAGCTGTAATAGTTAATGTGCTGAAGGCAATCCATTTCTAATTTGATGGAAATATGCAGATTCAAAAGGGACTTTGTGCTAATTCTCTTTTTAACCATGATAGTAATTTGCTTGATGTTAATCTGGATGGATTTTTTAATGAGAAAGTAGTTCTAATTTATGTGCTTTTCTTTATACATCAAAAATTCAACCAGATAATGCCTTGGAGCTTTAAATCTTTTTTGAATAACAATGAAATGTGAATTATTCTAAATATGGAGTTATTTCTGACCACCTTTTTATGCATTTCATGCATTTTCAAACTATTGTTGTCTTATTTTCTAGTGTAAACAGTAACAGTAAACAGTAAGTTTAAATAGCTGTGTGAGGCAATCAAAATAAACTATATATTATGACTTTTTTTGTAAAGACTTATGTCTACTGTGTATAGTACTGTACATTGCTCAGCTATAATAGTGTATATTGAGTCAAACATTCAATTAAAATTTTTCTTAAACATATGTAAAGTAATATGTAAGATAGCATACACAATAAAAGGTGTATAAAATACAGTACAAATGAAATGAGCATGAAAAGAAATGTTACACTATTTATGAATGTATGTTTTTGGATATTAAAGGTTTTTGGCATTATTTTGGTGACTCTTGTATGAATACTAAATAACTTCACTAGTGATTGAAACAGGTGAAATTAAGTTACTTAATATGTTGAATGTCAAATAGGGTTTGGGTACCGCTTATGGAAAACTTATTGCAGTATGCCACAGTACACGTGCAAGTACCGCGATACGTACCGCAGTATACCGCAAACTATTTTGCATGTTTATATATGGAGACTCTCTCATAGTTTGATTTCATGATTAGTAAAGCATATTGAGTTGTATACAAAATAAAGTAATGAAAATCATGTTGTTTTGTTGTTTTATTGGAAGCAAAGAACTAGAAATAACACTGAACAGTGTAACAGAACAGTTTAACAACATGCAGATGTTTGTCAGTCATTAAATGATTAAATCTTTTATCACAAGATAATGAAGGTTAATTTTGCTTAACATAGCAAGATAATGTCAAATTCAAAATATGACAGGTGTTTGTAAATTGTAACATTTTTGCTTTATAATGAGGAAAGGTGACATTCACTAGCTTATGAAACATGTTTAGCATGTTTGATTGGGCTTGGCTATTTCATCTAAAACTTCAAAGAATCCTCAATACTTGTTTAAAACATTGCTGAGACAAGACATTTTGTATTGACTTAAACAGCTTAAGACAATCTTACTTGCAAACAAGAAAAAAATCAAAGCATGTCTAATGGTAGTAATGGAATTAATAACATGATCAAGACTTGACTTCCTTCCCGACTAGAGTTACAGTAGAATCAGAAAAAAATAGAAAAAACAGCACATGTTCAGTGGGTCATTGAAAATAAGTATGGTAAACTATATGGTATGTTTAAACTATAAACTATAACTATAAAGTATGGTCAATGGTAAACAATCCTTAATAATATTACAACAACCTTACCCCATGGATTTGTAAAGGAGTATTTGATTATAATTTTCTCTGATTCTCCGTAAAAAATATGGGTGCTCTTAGAAATTAGAATTGCCTCAGCAAGACAACTCTAAGGAATAACCTTATGTTATTCAGGAGAAATAAGAAAAATATTACCGGTGTTATCATCAAATTCTCCCCAGTTCAGATTATTTCAGCATGATTTTCGAAATCACGTCATATTTCTAAATTTACTAGGCAATGACATGCGGGAAACACCTTTAGAGTGACCTTTTTTACCCACCCTTTTAAAGTTAACGACATTTTTATCGCAGTAATTTTGTTCTTTGTGTCAAATTTGATTTTATGAATGTAAACTGGAGAAAATCAGCGGTAAAATCGAAAAAATAAAACCGCTGACGGAAATTGCCGAGCGTACCGGTATGGTCTTAAACGTACCACGATACGTACAGCGTGAGTAAAGAACCGCAGTTTACCGGTGTACCGGTTTTACCCGCACCTCTAATGTCAAACGTGGTGAAAGTGAAGAAATAAAAAAGATACGTAACAATATATCTAACTCCTCATAAAGTAGTGGCACAACTAAGGAAACAGAAAAGTAACAACAGGTAGGAATTGACCCAATGAACAAGACATCTTGTTTAACATCTTTGAGGTACTCAACACCCATATTGTTCCCGGTGTACGGAACAATGTGCGCTTCTGGAAAAGGCTTTTGCTTTTGTGTGTAATACAGGGTGAGAGAGGCAGAAGAGGAAGAGGTAAACCTTGCCAACGAGGACCTCCTGGTACCCCCGGAAAAAATGGAGAAAATGTAAGACCAAGAAGAGTTATTAAGAATTCAGTGCATTAATTCCCCGTAACAAGGTGTACCTAAAATGAATTCCACATGTAATCCAGCTTTTTAAATCTTACCATGGAAACACCAATAGAAAATAGACAAAAAAAAACTGCTCAATGAAGGTTTGTAAGTGTATTCTCCCCCTACCTATTTATTTACCCAACTATTTATGTATCACATCCTGTTGTGATTTTATGTGACTCCTATGTTTTGCTTGCTTTTTTTACTTCTGTGGGAGCAGCCAAAGACAAATTTCCACAGCAGTGGACAGTAAAGCATCTAAAGTAAAGTAAAGCTGTACACTTAATATTTAGTTTACTAGTAGGGTTACATATACACTATGTGTTAAATTCCTAATAACTAAGATGATTTGACCTCTACTTGTATGGACCATAAAGTACAGCTAGCACTTGTGTTACTGTTACAAAGTGACTAAAAGTTAATACATAGCTCAAAATTCCCTTTTAGCCACATTAACCTTTGTTCCAATTAGCAGATTCTCATGGTTTCTTATGTCATTTATTCTTAATATGAATGATTCTGTGGGAACGTTTGTGGGAATAATTAACAAAAAACCTCTGGTAATTTCTGTTTTGTATGACTAATATACTATAGTTGTTAAGTGCTTTGAGTTTAAAATATAAATTACTATACGATAAGGACATTTTGTATTTACTCATGGCTGCTGTGCCACTAGCTATCTTTATTGAATATCTTGCAGGGTGAGGTGGGCTCAGAGGGATCTAAAGGGGAAAAGGGGGATCCTGGACTCACAGTAAGTGCACCCTCAAACCACCAGCTCTAGATGACATGTGGCAGGTTCACTGCCCTTGTACACAACCTGAATTTCTTTACAACCCGATGAAATAAATGTAATAATGTCCTTGTATTTTATGAGAATGTGCAAACACTTATTCTAAGATGACACTTTTGTGAAGCAGTTATGAAGTCTCCAGTTGACCAGAATATATTGGCTAAATCAAACTGCCTCATTACTGAAATAACTTCTGCAACATTTTTGATTGAACCCATCAATTCTTTGTTGTAATACACATTCATGTGTGAATGTGTATGTTGATTAGCCAAGAAAGATTGCATACAAAACCACAGTATATTGTACTCCAAGAGTAATGCTTAATATTTGCTCATTTTCTATGGCTTTCTTTTCTTTCTGTAGTCTACGAGATAGTCATTCAAGTCATATTCAGTAGTTTGGATAATTGGCTTCGAGATTTCAATTAAGTCTCTTAAGATTAGTGTAAAATAAAAATGCATGCTGTTCACTTTGTCCATTTTTAAGAGTCCTATTTTCTGTCAACACATTAATAGCTGAGGAGGCTAACATCAAATAACAAAACACATTTAGTTAAACACAAGAGAAGTTAAGGTTAATTTGTTATACGAAGATTTGTAAATTACTCTATGATACAGTACTTATCCATGCTTGACAAAGACAGACTTATAACCTGTGGTAAAAAAATATTTTACTAATACTAACAGTAAGTATTAAAACTATTTAAATCAGATTTCTTTACACTATTATTTTTTTCATTGCTTTTTTGGAGAGGTTATGCAAGACCATTCTTATAAAATAATGTGACATGGCTCCTGTTAGTGTACTGAACTTTAATTTTTTTTTTAATTGCATTCATAACAGAAGGTCAGCAGAAAGACCACTGTAACTGTGTCCAAGTCAATAGTGATCATTTGCTTACCAGTATACTGTATCAATATATACCTGATACTTCATTATTCAAGCACTCCTCTACTTGGTTTACAGTGGGGAGCCACTTGGCCAGACTCTCGTCCCTCAAGACAAGCAAGATAATGCCCATCATGTCTTTACTCTGCATGTCAATGGCACAAATGCAACACTCAGTGCAACCATATCTCCAGAATACATTATTGGGTAGCACAAAAAAAAGATGAAAAGAGGTTTTGAAATTCACTGTTTTTTTTAGTTCAAAACTACAGCCATGCTGTGAAACTAATGATTAGAACAAGATGCATAGTGATGCTAACAATATGAAAATCCCTAACAATATTGAATCAATTTTGGTCTAGGTGGAAGACGTTAAAGAGGTCATCATAAAAGAGCTGAGTGAAAAATGTGGTAAGTGGTTCTAGAGGTAAGGTAAGGACTAGAGTACAAAGTGTTAATAAATTGGCACTATTGAATGCCAAGCACAGATCTACTACTGTATACATACGTGTTTGAATTAGTCCTCAAATATGTCTTGATTATACGCTTTAAAGATTACAGTAATTATAGTTTTAAGGATATAAATCTCAGGGATTCTCAAAGCACAAGCGTACTGTTAGAGATTTAAATGTTTCACTGAGTTGTAAAATTCTACAACTCTGTAGAACACATTTGTAGCATGTACTTCTAAGTATTCATTAAATAAATACTATCAAATGTACACACACATATTAGACTATCCTAAAAATATGAGGAAGTGGAATATTCCATAGTATAGCACAGTACTGCAGTGGTTCGTATTTCTGCCTCACAGCACTGGGGCTCTGGGTTCTATTCTGAACCTAGGGTGTTATCTGCATGGAGTTTATTCTCCCTGTGTTTGCACGGGTTTCCTTCAAGTAATCCGGTTTCCTCCCGCAGTCCAAAGACATCCTGGTAGGTTAACTGGCTTGGTCCTAGTGTGTGCATATCTGTGTTTGTGTCTTGGTGTGCTCTGCAATGGACTGGCTTCCCATCCAAGATGCATCATGCCTTGTGCCTGTTGAATGCCAGGATAGGCCACGGCTCCCCCGAGACCTTAAATTGGATGAAGTGGTTAGAAAATGGATGGATGGCATGTTACATAAGAGAGATCTGTCCTCCTGTCCATCAGGGTGGGACCTGCCCAGAATGTGGTATGTCCTATCATTCCTGAAGACTGTGAAGTAGAAGTAGAATAAGCCTCACCCACTGGGAGAAAACAGGTTGGAGGTGATGTCACAGGAGGCAAGGCTGTTGATGTGCTGTGTATTTGGAACATTGCTGAAGGCAACTGCAGACTTGATTCATGTGTCCATTCAGACAGTCTTCATAGAGTGATTGTAGGTCTTAAACAGCACCAATCTTGGGCACAAGTAGTAACTTTATTGTAGTGTACATATACAGTAAAGAAAAGTATCAATGAGAGTGTGACTGCATTTAAGAATGTTATGTACAAAGTCATTTAGATTTTTTCATAAATGTTACATATTTACGTATGCAGTACAGAGCAACACTTTATTAAAATAGTTTTTTAAAAGTTTCTTTCTGTAGATGATCATGTAGTGATCATGAATGTCTTGAAGATATTCTTCTGAAACCCATGTGTTTAAAACACAGTCTTTTCCCTTAGCTAACTAATAACCAAGATCAGCAAGCTTTTCTAAAAAGAGCCTAACTTTGCATGAGGGAAGAGGTTATATACTTTATAAGACTATTAAAATTGTATTAATAGCAGTACATTAAATCTGGCTCAGTTATTAATTGAAGCGATTGCATCTTTGAGTTTGGGAAACCTAATAATTTTGTTGAGAACAATAGGAAGATATTACATAATTGTAATACTTTTAGTTAGACACACAGTCAGAGTGGTTTCTGTGGAGCCTTCCAGCTGGTTGTTTAATTGATGCTGGCTGAAATTGTGTATCCAATGTTTTCTGCTGTAGTCCTCAGCTTTGATTCATGCTGAAATGGACAGCAAGAAGAGCTACTAGTTCAGCCATCTGTTCTTTTATATCACAAAGTACCGTACTGTATTCAACTAAGAAGCAGGAGTGACAGAATGATGAACAATCAGTGATTAATCAAATCTAATCTATTGCTTATGTTTTGATATTCACTAACCTGTAACTGAATTAAGAAAGTTATGCAGAGGACAAAGACAAAAAATGTAATGCTAACATTTTTTGGGCTGTGAGACATCTTGGACTCTTTCAACTAGAATTTGGTTTCTCTAGTATAGTTGCAGGGGTTTAATCAGACATTACTGAAAGAAAATGAATTTACAAAGTTTATGAGCTTTTATTTTTGTTTATTCTCCTAGAAATGGGATTGATATGTCAGGAAATAAACTACAGTTCTACTAAATTAAGCCAATCTGGTGACCACTAGACCACTAGGCAATTAATGTTTACTAAACTTTGAGTTCCTTCTCCACCTCCATCAGGTCATTGCTGAGTGTTAGCTCCAAAGAGGTAATCAGAAAATCCCCCTCTGCCTCTTCTATAGGTATATGCTGCTGCAAAAAGGCAAGACCGTCACGCCCTCTGCAGCATGAGGGCACTCCTACTCTGTCCTGTCCCTAGTTTCCTGCTTTGCTGTCCTTCCGGTTTCCCTCTTTCCTTAGGCTATATATTTCCGGGTCACTTATTCTGCCTCACTCGGCATTGACGTTCGGATGTCCTGAGACCCGCCTAGCACCAGGTCGCCCCACATCCGCTACCTGAGGGCATAGGTTTCTATACGGCACTCCTGAACTCTTTGCACTGACGAGCCCGGGCTAACTCCCCGTTCCGCCGCCTCGCACAGGGCCTTTTTCGCTCTCCTGCCTCTCCATGGTTTGTCCCTTCCGACATCCGTGACAAAGACAAAGCTTCATCTCTTACATATATTTAAAAATGTACCGATATCTGAAACAGTATGTGCTCCATAGAATGGTTGACCTCATATCTAGAACCTGAAAAATATTTTTCTTGTTTCTTGTAAAAATACACATTAGTGTTATACAGTTTCCTATAAGAAGTGTAATATAATTTACATTAAGGTCAGACACACAATTCCACAGTATTATTTGAAGTTGATTAAAAATGGGGAAGGATGGTGGCACTGTGGTAAAACATTGCAGGCTCTCAGCCCTGTGGCCCCTGGGTTCAATTCCAGACCTGTGGTTCTACAGTATCAGCTTGTATGTTCTCCTTGTGTTCTCTGGGTGGTCCGGTTTCCTCCTACAGTCCAAAACCCTACTGGAAGGTTAATTGGCTTCAGGCAAAATTGGCCCTGGTTTGAACGTGCATGTTTGTGTTCGTGTCTGTGTGTGCCCTGTGATAGACTGGCATCCTGTCAGGAGTGTAGCCTACCTTCTACTCATTGCTTGCTGTGATAGACTCCAGCCCTGTATTGGATAAAGTGGTCAGAAAATGGATGGATGGATGGATGTTCCAAAATGTATTTATGTACTTTAGAGGATCAATCACTAAACCTTGAAATGACATAGAACAAAAAGGCATGCAGAAATTAAATGATACATTATTGTTTTAACTATTCTTGTGCTTCAGGGATCAAAATAATTTCATTGAGATTTAGCTTTAAGAACCTGACAATGAATTGAAAATATTTTCTGTAAAATTCTTTTTATTCCAGAATCACAAGCCAAACAAGTTTCAACATCTTTTGAATTACTTTCGTACTAGTGTTTGTCTTCTCCAAGGACAGTATTAAGGTGAATTAAAGTACACTACAGGCATAGAAGTAATGCAGCAAACAGAAAGTGCATTACAGAAAATGATGAAAATTCTGTCATGTTTCTGCATAACAGAAAATGATAGGTGCATGTTTGTTATGAGTATTACATGTGTGTGGTATGCTTTCAGGTTTTTGGTTTTCTGTTTTTTGTGTGTGTATTCCAGGCAAAGACTTTCTGTTAGTGGTGAATTCAGCTGACCCAGATAAAGACAATAATATAATCACTGGGGAGGGTCCGGAGGGAGACCTAGCTGGGCTTGAAGAGCTCTCAGAAGATCTTGATGAAAACGATGAAGAGGGTGGGCCCAAAGGACAAGAAAGCACCGTGCAACAGGAGCAGCAGATGCTAGAAAGCAATTTCACAAGTAAATGAAAATAACTCTACAAATCATTCTTCATTTTAACATAGATTTGCTTCCAATACAAATATGGCCACAAAGCCTGTGAAATACGCACTTTACTATAGCTGTTTTATAAGAAAGACATTTCCAGAGCTAAAGCATATTGCTGCCATTAATAGTCGGATCTTGTTATTGTCACAGACTGCACTAATAATACATTTTGAGAACCCAGAACAGTAACAAGGTTCTAAAGATGAAGTCCGTTACCAAGACATGGTATGAAATAAACACATAAGAAAAACATCTTTTTACTCACAGTTTCTAACTGCTGAGTAAATTTGTGTTTGCATTGAAAAACGATTCAATTGCACTGATCAAAGGAATGCACAGTAAGCTTTAATGTGGTGATTTCAAAGCCTGCCATCTTGAGAATATGTTTAAAGACAGATACGTTTAATATCCCAGACCACTTTGCATCTGTCACCAAATTCTATTTCTTAGACGCTGTTGAGGAATGGATGTAGAATTCAATGTCATTGTTTTAGTTTTAATAAAATGTGTCTTTCATAAGCAAACATTTTATGAAATGAAGAAAAGTCTCTATCTTGTAGTTTAATGAGGGAAAAAATAAAATAAAAACACATTTCCATTCCAAACAGCACCCTGTTGAAGCAGTGAAACCATAGATTAAAACCGAACAACATCAGCACATTCCATATTATTGACTTTATTTTCCCCTGACTCATTAAAATGGCATAAAATGTTCAATTCAAATTGAAAACAAAAAATAATGTAAAGAGGTATTTCAAAGGCACTACACAAAATCACGTCTTTAACCCAATTTCCATTAAACTGATTAACTGATTAACAGATTAACGTAAACAAAAACATTTACCATTTAAAACCAACTGATATCCGCCATGTTGATTGTTAGTCTGAAACTAAGGTACTGTACTGAAAGACATTTTATATCTGAATCGTAATTAACTTATGGTGCTCTTCATAATGAATGGTTTACTATTAATAGTTTTAGTTTGTATTATATATATTTTTACAAAGACTAATAAAATTAAAGAACCATGATCTATTAAACCTACAGAACATAATCAGTGTAGCACAAAACATTTTGTGGAATAACATGTGGTGGAATAATGTAATGAGAGTTATGTGTAGTGTGCTGTTTGAGTTTCCAAAGAAATATAATTTCATATGTATGCAAGGTGATGCCCAATTCCACCTGTGAATATGGAAAAGCCTATGGCTACAGACATTTTTTATTTAATATAGCATAAAATATTGTGTTACACAATGCAATTTTTTACACCATTGAAATCAAATATGCAATTGTATAGGAAATCTTGCAAAATATATGTTGTCATATATTTTCAGTATAGATTTGGGCTTTACAACTCATTTCAGATATTGTATCTGTGTTTATTAATTGTAGCAAATTTGACAATGTGATCATTTAAAGTGGTATCAGAGGCAAAATGAAAATCATTCCATTAAAAGTATTTTCTGTCCTTTAGGAGAGAAGAGAATGACAACACACATCCTCATTTCAGATGCTTATGTATTGCGTGAACACAATTCTACAGTGAAGATTAAAACTGGCTTCACTTGAGAGGAGCTCGGAAGACAATAATAGAATTACTGAAACATAAGTGCTACATTGCACACATTTTCATGACATTTATCAAGTGCTAGTTATGTTGACAGAATCATGATATGTCTGTAATGGACAACATTTAGAGTGTTGACATATCTGAAAATGATTCACTGTGAACACTAATAAATCCATTTATCTGTAGATTCAGAAAATGACCGCATAATGGAATCATCTCAGAGGAGAAAACGACTTGCTCAGATCCCATTACAAGGTACAGTACCATATATTAGCCATCATTTACGAAACATCTTATTCAAAATAAGGGAGATATTTCATTTGGCACAATGATAAACTTATTTTATTATTGGAATATTCAAATCCAAGACTAGATATGCAAAAATCTGCAAAACATTATAGAACACATCTAAATTACTGAGTTCAGTGCTTTATTATTATTATTATTATTATTATTATTATTATTAATAATAATAATAATAATAATAATAATTAAAAGTTGCTTACACTTATATAGTGCTTTTCTGGACACTCCACTCAAAGCGCTTTACAGATAATGGGGACTCCCATCCATCACCACCAATGTGCAGCATCCACCTGCATGATGCGACGGCACCCATAGTGTGCCAGAACGCTCACCACACATCAGTTATCAGTGGGGAGTAGAGCAGATTAATGAAGCCAATTCATAGATGGGGAATATTAGGAGGCCATGATTAGTAAGGGCCAATGGGAAATTTGGCCAGGATGCCGGGGTAACACCCCTACTCTTTTCGAGAGACACCCTGGGATTTTTAATGACCACAGAGAGTCAGGACCTATGTTTTACGTCTCATCCAGAGGACAGCTCATGTTTATAGTATAGTGTCCCCCATCACTATACTGGGGCATTAGGACCCACATGGACCGCAGGGTGAGCACTCCCTGCTGGCCCCATTAACACCTCTTCCAGCAGCAACTTTAGTTTTTCTTAGGAGGTCTTTCATCCAGGTACTGACTAGGCTCACACCTGCTGAACTTCAGTGGGTTGCCAGTTGTGAGTTGCTGGCATTATGGCATACTGGTATTACTCAGTACATTAGCAAATTTGAGTTTAACAATTATAGTTCCAAACTTCCTTTTTATTCTTCCTATAAGATAATCTCATTCATTTAACTGAAATATTTATTTTAGAATTTCATCAAATCAATTAAGGTCAGGTATACTGACCTAGTAAAAAGATATAATTATTTTACCTCGTATATTTTAGTATTATGACAATTTGGAACAGGAGAAGAGCTGTGATCACATAATCTATCTGGAGACAAGATAGAACAATAGACAAATAATTATCTCTGTTAAAGTTAAAAGCACAAAGGCTTACAGGAAATAGCAGCAAACATTCACTATGCTCACTGGACACAATATTAATATCAGCACACTGATCAGTAGATTCAGTGCCACACAACATGGGTCTTACCCTTACCTCCCCTGCCTGGAACGATCTCCAAATCCCAGTGCCTTTGAACACAGGTGAAAACAATGAAACATACCATTAAATCCCATTAGACCCATTATCACAACCACAGCTGAAGCTGACTCCTGTTTGAAGATTCAAATATCTACTCAATCGTACAGGAAGTGCTAGAAAAATGGGTTGAAATAGTGTTGTGAATATTTGTAAACCTTGTGGAAATCCTGCCAAGTACTGTTAATGTCTGCTCCCAGAGGTCCAACACTATACTGTATGTGGCTGGGCTTCCTCATAATTTGCCAATAAGTGTACCTAATATGGAGGAATATTAAACTGTAAGAGTACTGTGTCATTGTGCATGGTCATTCTTAAACAAAATAGGCATCTTTGCTCATGAAACAGAGAATCTTTCGTATTCCTACTCTTTATAGGGATATAGCACTCTCTTAACTAGTCCAGGCTTTTTGTGACTCTTGCTGCCCAACAAGCTTGTAGCTTTCTGCATTCTGCATTTTAAATATTTTATCAATATACTGCACTGTATGTATAATATTCCCTGAAGCACGTTCAACAGACTTTGCTTTAATGGACTTTGGATTTAGTGGAAATAAATCAGCTATATTTTTGTCTATAAAATCAGAATTTCACCCACATTAAAGGGAAAATGCGAAATCTCATCACATGCACCTTCCCCCAATTAGACTGTTAAACCAGGGGTGTTCTGTGATTCCCAAGAATTAGGTCTGCAGTGTTCATGGCTTTTTGTATTAAATATTAGTACTGCACTGTGCACACTACTGTATTGAATACTCCAGTAAATGACAAAAATCTTATTGCTCAAAAATCCTTGAAAGCTATGTGACAACAGGTGCACAATATGTACAATGTAAACATTTAAGATTAGATTTTTAATTTGCCATACTATGTGATGCAATTACTAGCTACCTTTAGCTTTTCATTGACTTCTTTATCTTTTTTGCAGAGCACCAGGTTGACCCCTGCAGCATCCCAATGACTGAGGGGTCATGTTCTGATTATACACTGCTCTGGTATTACCACCCAAAGTCTAATGACTGCAGGCCTTTTGTTTATGGTGGCTGTGGAGGGAACAGCAATAGGTTCTCATCCAAGAAAAGCTGTGAACTGAGGTGTAAGAAGGAAACAAGAGGTAAGACTCTGAATGGTGCAATAACCTTTGTAATTCTCTGCTTAATGAATCATATTCTTGGTTGACAGAATATTATTGAAATTGAGAGATGCTAAGAGTTTTTGCCAGTCAGATAATGTGAATGCCACTATTAACCACTCTTTACTTACCACTGATAGTCATGAAATGTCAATGGTGCTGCCATACATATAATTTTTATGAACATTTGCATTGTTAGTTATATTTTTGTTTTTGTTTTTCAATTGAATAAAAAACTTGAAAATGCAGAAATAAAAAATCAAACATGTGCACCAATCTCTGTATGTGTCACTTAGACATATTTGGACAGTATTTAACCTAAGTAGTTGCAGAGAAATGGTTCCAAAATTCCCCGGTACTAATACAGACAAGCAGCACTTTAAAAAACATAAGGGCCAGATCAGATGTTGCACGAGCACAGTTTTAGGAGTGTTTCTGTTTGGTCAAGGTGCTTTCAGACTAAGACTACTTGGCCATCCCTCGATGTAAAAGTGTTTGCATGATGTGTCACTGGCTCCAATACGTACAAATAAAAGTTTGTATTTTGTCATTGGGAAGTGTTTGTGTTCGACGATTGCATCAGCATTTTAAATTTTGCGTTTCTTTTCAGAGCCTGCCAGGTGAAAAAATGTCACCTGTACACCGTAAAGAGAAAAGAAGAAGAAATAATGGAAGTATCCCTTTTTTTTTAGTAATGGTGCATTATCACATATCACATAACAACAACGCATTACTGCTATAATTAAATTTTGTATTTAATCAGTGCAGCAAAAGCATAAAAACGACATCATTACAAATTATTGTCATGCAAAGTGTATAAAGGCAACTAAAATAATACGTTTCCTGTTAATCGTGTCATTAATCAAGTAAATTGTGCAAGATATCATAAGAGGTTTAGTGAAAAGAATGTTATTTCTCTAGCACTGTTAGTACTATTTGTACAAAAAAACTAAACTTATTTTTAGTTTTGATATAAAAAGGCCAAAATAAAAATATATATTTTTCTCTCACTAGTCTGCCTGTATTTGTATATGTTATTGAGAGCTTTCCATTCTGTTAAGGGACTATGAATGAATCATGTTTGTATCAGTAAGGTGAAAGAGGAAAAGAAGTCTAAACATTTTCAGTGGCCCCTCACTACTCTTACCCAGGTCAAGACAGTTAAGAAAACCAAAATATTATCAGCTTCAGACTTAATACAAAACTAATCAGCCTGCATTAAATCTGAATGGAGCTTTCTTAGACTTAAAGATTTCATACACTTAAAAGTAATAATAAATAAATTTTGTTGTAGGTTCTATGCAGTACATTTGCCTGGTATACAATAGCAGAAGGCACTCAGCTTTTCTGAGTGCTAATTTCATCAATGATAATGCTCACTCTGTGCAGAGACTTTTGTCAACAGTTTCTCAGCTGTGATGGAGTTACCAAAATGGACTGGCCCATATGCCACATGTCTTGTAGGCTTTTGGAAGAATTTTCCAGCTTCCATTATCATGCTCCTGGAAGCAGGAAACAGCTAGACACTAACCTTTTTTCTCTAAAAAGAATGAAAAGACAATCCAACAAAAATTTGAATATCTCTGGATTTGGATAGCAGATCCTAGTCCTAATTCTCTTAATTCAAAATTAAGAAACGTTTTTGTTTTCAAATATTTCGTTCTTGGGGTACACTTGACGGCTTTTTCACTGCCAATTAAAATAAAACAAAAAGGATGTTCCCTGTTCTGTAGAAGGTCACTGCACTTGTATACTATGTGTAAATTGCCTCTGGGGCTTTTTTCTGCCATTTTGCTTAATGAGCCAAAAGATTTGTTGAGATATGATTTTATCACCACATCATTTATAAATACATGATTAATTAATCTAATAAGGAAGGCCAAAAGTAGTACAATATATACATTTAAATTAGCCTTCTTACTTCTTAATGATAAAGAAAAAGTACATGTTCCAATACTGTGCACAAGTACAGGTCTGTAAAATCTGACAGACGAGAAGCATAAGAAACAGTAAATTTAACATTTCGTTTAATTTAAGCTGTGTTTTTTGGACCTTTTAACTTCTTTGTGCTAAGAACACAAAGTAAGATTACAAAAAGAGGAGGGTATTAGGTCTGTCTTGGTTGCTAATATCTTATGGACCCTACAATGTTTTCCAGTCTAAATGCACAACATCTTGGTTTTCACTTATGCCCACAGAATCTTCTTTCACTAGTCCTGAAATTATCTTCAACAACATGCTGATGACAGTGACAGAAGTTCCTGTGAATGAAGTGTCAAGGATGAACCCATTAGGAATGCTAAAGCTTAAACAATGTCTGAGTCCTGTTGAACAGATTGACATTAAAATAAAACTTTAATTCTGTTTACTTTGTAAATTCTAATAAAACGTAAGGTTTAACTTTGTGGAAGCCAGGTATCAATGAAGTGCACAAAATTTCTTAATACACAGTTCTCCAATGGTGATGTAGTCTTACTGAAAACATTCTTACTTATGAATTAATAATTTTCACAAAAATGACTCACATTCTGTTTCTGGAGTATGTAATTTTGTAAAATGGTTGATTTTCATGTCAGGGGAGGTATGTAAAGGTTTGCCAAGACTGTGCAAATCCTTCCCCTGAAATCCAGGCTTTTTTCATGTCTGAGCTTTTCTCCTGAACACCTGCTCTCCTTGGCTGTGTCCTGTCTGTACTCCACCTCCTGGAGGGGACTCAGACCTGCTGTTCCTTCCTAGCAGTGCAGCATTTGAGCAATGTGGGCCACTTGATTTTGCAGGAAGCACTTTAACTGCATTTATGTTTGATCAGTGGTTTTATAGCGTTTTTGATTATTCTGTGCTTTAGTGCATGGAAGGAAAAAAAACTGGCTAGCTATTTACTGTATAACTCCTACAGCCAACTGTTACTTGTCTATTGAGCATTTATAATTTGCATAGGTGTGTATGATTTTTGTGCCTGTTGTATTCTGTCCATATTATACTGATATTCATTTTGTTTCTTTTTAAATAAGAGACATTTTTAAAATCCTTTCCAAATTTTAGAGGATTAGGTGTAATTTAGTGATGTAACTACCCATATAGCGAATATCATACCCTAGCCCCAGCAACTGAATATTTAGTTTTTTCCTCTTGGTAGTGAAACACTGATTCTGGAACTTGTTGATGCATATGTGTCACCAGCAGGACATAGAGCTGGGAAGGACTTAGTCCAGATGACGGAACAGCAAGAGATTGCAGGTACATTTCAAAGGACAAAGTGAGATGATTTATAGCAGGGTATTCCTTTCAAAGGTTGTCGGCTTCTTATCTGCTGTGAAATACAAATTGTGCAGACACAAAGATATAAACCTCCAGGAGGAAACGACAAGAGATATGTTATAGTTTTAGACCTTCAGTGGGTTTTTATAGTCATTTAGTAATTTTATTTTATTTTATTCTGTTTACGTGAGGTTGGGTTTTCTTGTAGTTTAAGCAGGAAAGTAGTCACAGTGCCATTTGACTGCTTCGTTACGAAGAAAGTCTCTCTCGCATTCTTCTGCAGCAACCTCAAAACACTATAACAACTGCTTTGTTTCCTAACCCCAAATGGATTTCAATAATATCCAACAAGAGAAGAAAGAACAAAGTGTGGATTTTGAAAGCTGACATGATGGAAAATCAAATTTAGTGAAAATATGGAAAGCCAATCTGGCTGATAATTATCGCTTCATATTCTTCTTTCAAAATAAAACAAAAAACACATATACTGTAATTAAATATCTGACAGGAATGCACAGAGATGTGTTTATTGATATGAGGATACTTCTGGGATTGTTGAATTAAATAGAATCATTGAGACACATCATTTCTTTGGGCAATGATATTAAGAAAATGAGAAAAAAGTGCCTGAAATCTCATTGTTAATCTATGAGTTTACACAATTTGCCAACAAGTTGATATTGAGTACTCATGATGGAAATGCATGTTTGTGAGTCATATGTAAGACTGAATAATATTTTTCCCCTATTCAACTTAAATTAATAACAAAGAGACGCTTCTTCTAAAGTGTTATTAAAACATACTGTATCAGATGACATTTCATTTTTTATTATTATGATTTCAAAATAGAAATCAAAAGAAAATAAATACACTTTCTTCTTTGTTCCCATTAAAACCCGCCATTATTTCAGTTTTGCCTATTACCAGACTCTGAATGATTGCTTTTAATTGCAATATGATTCATTGGACTCAGCTGAGTTTACACATGTACCATTCCTCCTACATAATTTACATTCCACTGGCCAGGTTTCTTTTCTCTAAGGATACTAACGTGTGTTTAACCTCCCTCGCATTTTATCCTAATTAGGCTTTTGTACAACAAATTTAAATAAATTAATGTTAACTAATTTAAAGTTTTACGTGCAAGATTGCAATGACCTTTAATGAGTCTTAAGGAAGGTTTCGTTCTTAAATTCTCATAGCGATGAACATTTTTACATCAGTCTGTGCTTCAGGAACAGAGGATAGACTAAAGATTCATTTCTCAGTTTAGAACTAAATCTTTTGGCTATGCACTGTTCTTCCATGCATTTATTTTCTCATCCACTTTCATCTAATACAGGATTATGGGGGGGCAGAGCCTATCCAAGCAAGGAGAACAAGGAAGTATACGTCCTGGACAGGACACCAGTCCATTGCAGGGGCGCACGCAGACACAATTACAGACATGCTCACGCTCACCAGATTTCCAAGATGGTGAGAACACAGAAACTGTGGTGCTGATAGCACCCCAGGAATCTAACTCAGGGCCCCAACGCTGCTAACCACTGCACCACCACCCCAGCCTTCTGTTCCTCTTTACTAACTAAAACCATATTCACGTAAACTAAATACCTAAAGATAAACTGAGTCATTCAAAACATAATTTCAAATATACTGTGGACAAATTCCCTTTAACCTGGTTCTCTTTAACCTGATCTGCAGCTGAAAGTGTTATAACAGTAATGTCTATGCACCCTGATAAATTAATAAGACTTTTTAGTTGCACAGTATTGTAATCTTTATCTTTTGCCCTGTGGTCATAACAAATAAGAAATGTATCCAAGGGAATTTCTGTTAAAAACAATATTATTTCAGTTTCCTTTTTACACAGATTTTCCATACTCAGGATGTGCTTAAAGCAGCTGTCCTGCGAAAACTCTCGCAAGCTCTCGACCTGAAACATGTGAAAATTACAAAAATATTATTCCTCTGCATATAAAGGAGGCCCCTGGGTTCAATTCCTAAGGTGCTGTCTGTGTGGAGTTTGTATGTTCTCCTTGTGTTCGTATGGGTTTTCGCCTGGTGCTCTGGTTTCCGCCCACAGTCCAAAGATGTACTGGTAGGTAAATTGGCTTCTGGGAAAATTGTCTTGGTCTGCTCGTGTGTGTATTTGTGTCTGTGTGTGCCCTGTGAAGGACTGGAGTCCAGTCCAGGATGTACCCTGCTTCTGCTTGCCAGAACAGGCTCTGGCTCTGGCTCTCTTACGGCCCAGAATGGATGTAGAGGAGGTTCTGTCCCTTAGCTTTTCATCTGAGGGCTGTGGGAGTGTGGAACAAGTTACCCAGCCATGCCGTTGAAGCTGATAACTGACTTCTTTCAAGAATCATCTGGATGAGGTCCTTGGGTCAATTGCCTACTAAATGATAAAAATCAATAAGCGGTACTGCAGAATTGGTAAAAAATAATAAAAGAAATGTTTTCCCTAATTTAGACCATTTGTCGGAAGGGGTATTTTAGTGCATTGTCTGAAAAACTGGCTCAAGGATTAATTTAGTTTTATATCTGAGAGATTTCAAATCTGGTGTAGCGAGCATACTCATTTTGTCTCTTGCCGTGATAACAGAGCAGGGTGAGGTGGGGAATGAAGGAAACAAGAATATTGTCTCAAATTATTTATTAAGATTATCAAATAAACCATAAATGTTAAAATTACAGTTAAAATTTAAAAAGGCAATGAGCAAAGTCTTGTTAGGTTCC